TGTCGGTGTTAGGTGTGCCTATGGCATTAAAGCTGGTGGTACATCCAAGCTAAGGTCCTTTTTTCAATTTGTGTAACAGCCGCCTTATACCTATCCCTATTTGCTAGAATCGAGTTCCAGTAATAATTTACTACCAAATTTTACAATTAATTTAGGCTTGTAGCAGTCTTCAATTATCCTCACTCTCCCACTCTCTACCTTTTTCCACTCGATACTTCTTTTCACTAAGTCCTGCCTGTCAGGAAACAGTCTTACCCTACCTTACACTGCTAAGTTTTCTATTGACTAGTTTCTATTAACTAAGTTTATTTCTATTATTTGTTGACTTAGAAAAGTTTAGTTTGGGAGAAGATGCCAAAATTTGAATAGAGTAATGGTTTGTGTAGCTGAACACGGCTACATCTGTACCTATCATATTTGTATTTTTCTGTAAGTCATGGGTTTACTTTCTTCACTTGAAATTCAGTGTCAGTAGCCAATAAAAATTTTTAATGTAAAAGAAAATGTCTATGTAAACAATTTTGTCGAGTTAGTTTTTAGTAGTTTATATTATTTTAGACATTTCCATTTTAACCAAAACTGAGCTGTGTAAAATACAAAAAAATTAGTCTGAAGAAATTAAAATATATCTAGTAGTCGATACAGAGTACACAAGAAGTTAACAAGTGGTCTCAAGGCAGAATATTTTGCATATATAATCATATGTCTGGCTTAGTGTGTGGGATCATGACTCAAGGTTACTGTATGGTATGTAAAATGTATTGTACTAACATTGTTAATGGGTTAAACCACAGGTAGATTAAACAAAGTGCAGAATATAGTAAAATAACAAAAACTGTTCATATTATGGCAGTGATAATCCACATTGTGTTCATACAAGATAGATTGTTTAGTATAAATCAAATATTTAGGAATATTTCTAGAAATATGAAAATCTAGACCATCATTCTTTTATGAAAACAATATGGACATCGTGGGCACACATTCCCGCCATCATCATATCTCTGGCAGGTCCAAGCTCTCAGTTCAACAATATGGCTGTATCTTTGGTCCTCATGACAGTACAGTACTCAACTGCTCATCATGTGTAGTCGGTAAAAATATATTCTTTACTTTTTCTCTGTTGTTGTTTTTCTAACCTTGAAAACCATTTGTCATAATACCATCTAGATTAATAATTAAACCTAATATTCTTTTCTTCTCTCTTACAGCAATTTATATGTTCCCAATCTTCATGTGTTCCAGTTCTTCAGCAATCAGGATTAGGAATGAAGTAATATAGCTTGGAACACATCTCAATATTATACAATGAATTAATTTTGTAATGGTGAAGTACAATGAAACCATTCAAAGAATGAATCAAACTATAGCAGAACCCTTGGAGGAGTGTAAAAAATTGGCTAGTCAAGTAAACAAAGGAAAGCAATAAGCCAGGAAGACTCTGTAGCACCATTAGTGTCACTGGATATTATTCAAAAGGAGCCAAATATCACAAAGCCCCAGCCGAGAGACGACGTGTTCGTGAACACAGCGAGTGAGGGCTCGGGTAGGCACCAAGGAACCGAACCCTAAAAAACCCGAAGAGGAAGCCAGCAACCAATGCAAGGCCCCCGGGGGTCGAACCCAGTGATCGCAAGAGGCGCGGAAGGGACGTCACCGAAGAAACCAGAACAGCCGACAAAGCCCAACCAAACCCGGCGGGTAGACTATCTTTGCAAAGTTCAGGCTCCCGTACAGACGCCTGAGCAACCACCAGGTGACCCAGGAGCCCCCCCCCCCCTTCCACAAACAAGTGCATGCGGGATCGCAACTGAAGGAGAGACTCCGGAGAAGAGACAAGGAAGCGGTCCGAGAGTCCTACACATGACCCAGCCAGGTTCGAAGCTGGGAGGGAACCAGATGGGACTTCCGCCAGTTCACCAGGTACCCGAATCCGGCTAACTGGGAAAGCATTAAACCTCTGGCGAGCAGACAAGCAGACTGGGAGCCCAAACCAGCCAGTCGTTGAGGTAAGCCAACACCTGAACACCTAACAGATGCAGACAGGCCACCATGACCCGGGTGAGGCATGTGAACATGCGAGGTGCCAGGTTCAACCTGAACAGTTGACAACGAAAACGGTAACTCTGATGCCCCAAAACAAAACCAACCCAGTCCCTGAACCCCGGATGAATAGGGACATGCCAATATGCGTCCTTGAGGTCCAGGGACACCATCCAAGTGCCGAGCTCCAACAGAAGCCGGACCTGGGACAGAGTGGTCATCCGAAAGGAGTGGCAAAAAAACCAGGGGTTCAGATGGGACAAGTCCAGAATGAACTGCAGGTCCGCACAGTCCCGTTTCGGAACTGGAAACAGGCGGAGAAACCCACCTGAGGGACGTCGTCGTTTTGACCACATCCAAGCACTCCCACTCCAAGGCGACCTGACAGAGCACAGGAGAAGAGGCCTGCCCTGCCAGCCCCGAACCCGCTAAAGGGGCAGGAGCCACCCAACACCAGCGAAGGGCACGAGAAACGACCCGAAAAGCCCACGAATCGTGGGACCAGGTGTGAGCGAACAAAGCAAGCCTCCCCTTCCCCATCACTCCGTCAATGGGGTGAACTGCAAAAGGGCTGACGCCCCGTACAAGAACCCAACCTGCGCACAGATCAAGCGCAGCTGGAACCGAAAGCGGCACCGGCTCCGAAACTGCAACCTGTGCCCCACCACGATGAGCGGAACCGCGGGCCCTGGCACGACCCCTCCAGGAGGAACCCACCCGGAACCTCTGGAGAACCAAACAAGTCAGACATAGGGCAGCAGCTGGAGGAAGCCACTTGCATGTATTGTTCGACCACAAATAGTAAAGGACAAAAGGGAAAAGACAATTTAAGAGCCAGGACCAAGCAGATTCCAAGGAAGAAGCGAGTACACACGGGAGCCAAGCAGGGGGTACCACTGAACACCGGAGGTCAAGATCCTAATATAACTGGGTGCAAGGGAAACAAGGCAGACTTCCCCACCAGGCAGAAACAAAAAGAAAAACCCTGCAAGAGGACAACGTACCCATGATAAACAGAGCCGGCTGCTGTAATAGGGGAAAACTAGCTGCGCAGTACCCTGTGCCCCACCAGTGCAAAAATTACCACTTACCCCAAGGTAAATGGGGGAGGAAAATACACCCCCCCCCCCAACACACCCGGGGTGGTCAATCACCGAGCAGCAAAAGACCAACAGGTAGACCCCAAGGTGATTTGTGGAAGATAACCCCAAGCCTTCTTTAGTACTCACTTCCGAAGTTGACCAGACTTCCCTTCACACACTAGAAGGTGAAGGGACGATGACGTTTCGGTCCGTCCTGGACCATTCTCAAGTCGATTGTGTTGAATTAGACACATGCAATAAATAGGCAAGAGAGGGGTGAGGAGCAAAGGTGTAGTAGAGGGGATAATAGGAAAACGAACTGTAGAAGGCCTATTGGCTCATGCGAGGCAGCTCCTATTAACCACCGAATGAGAAGGAGATAGTAAGAGGAATAAGAAGAGGATAGCAAGGGAACATAGAAGACAGTGGACAGAAAAAAAAAGAGAAGAGAGAATAGAAAGTACACACTCAGTACTTCCGAAGTACTGAGTGTGTAATACAGTGTGTTACTGCGTAAATAGTGTGTGAAACTGTACATATTGTAATTTTAGTGAATTTTTAACAACTAATATTGCAACAATAAACATTTATTTTAGACACATTACTGACACACGTATCACAGTTCCATGGAACATTATGAACATTCTACTGTATACGTATAATAAAGAACACAAATATGTATCATATACGATAAAAAAAAATAAGAAATGCATTGGAAATACAGTACATAAAACAAATAATTGAAAATATATTTGTGGCAACACCCGGTGCTTGAATGGCCCGCGTGACCGTGTCTGGGCGTGTCACGCACTGGCGACCAGCCCCTGATGACGTCACAGCGCACTTTGTCCACGTCCCCACAGCCAAAGTAAGTGGAATTTGGTATTTATTTTTACATAGACATGTTCAGGGAAGGGAATTTATAATTTTACGAAGAAAAAGTAATTTTTTGGGAACACTTTCATGTGCACAGGGAATTTCACAATAAACTCGTCGCAGCACGGTGGTTAAAGAAACGTCTGAGTTCCCCATAATGACCTCTCCTGAAATCAGGTTTTTCAACTGCTTCAACCTCATTTTCTTCATATTATAATACAGTACATTGTATACTTTATTCCCAAAAAGACATGGTCACTTTTACGCAAGGGAGGGAGGTACGGAATGTCAAATATCTCTTCCTCTTGGTAAATATCAAATCCAGCATGGAGGGAACATCTTCCCTCATTCTCATAGCTTGTTTAACATGTTGAAACACGAATATTTCCAGGATGAGGTTTACGAATCTACACGTCCAAAAATTCTCTGTTCTAGCTTCATATGCTTCCCAGTCTATGGATTTAAAGTTGAAGTCCCTGACTACCAACAGTCGTGATCTATCTTTACCAGCTTTCGCTATAATCTCTCTCATTATTGTTATAAGACTTTCACGTTTATTATCCAGCTCCTCCTTTGACCATGTGTTGCATGGCGGTGGACTATATGCATTTATGATCATTAGTTTATCATCCTGATTGCAGATCTCAAGTGCTATTATGTCAACTTCTTGTGGATTGACAATCATTATTTCATTTGCCTTTAGGTGTTCTGTCACTAGCACAGCAATGCCGTCGCCTTTCCTAATTTTTCTGTCCCTAGTGTATTTTCCCTTTTCTAGTGTTCCCACTAGCATGTTTCAACCACTGTAGTGTACACACCAGCATGAACAACCACACTGTGAAATACTGCAGCATGCCGTCAAAAAAAATTTACTGCATGAATACAAAAGATGCTTTTCACAAGTCCTACACATATACAATGGAGCTGTGAGCTCAATGAATAGCCAAGTAGGAATACGAAAAGTTTCAGGTTTGCAGAAAAGGTGAACAAGACAATATATAGTGTTGCAAAACAATATATTTTAAAGGTAGGGAAGAAGACACTTTGAAAAGAGAGACATCATTCCCTTGACATTTTATCTGAACACGTGAATTTCCCTGAAAATCCTTAAATATAAGTACTGTAATACATAAAGGTTGCAAGAAAAAACAAAGTTTAATAATGTAATATACTGTATGTCTTCGGCTATCGGAAGCCTGCTGAACTGGATATTTGGGTTATCCGGCCAAATATGCATCTGGATAATTTTCTGGCAAAACTTCTCCATATATGGACAGAAATCCAGATAACTGAAGATTAGGTAAAGTAAATTTTAAAGAACTATGCATTTCAAGATCTACATTATCAAACAAGACAATGAACTACAATAAATTGAGCTGAAGTTTTCATTTTAAATTATATTTTTGATTTACAGTGTGTGTGGAAATTTGAGTAATGTTGCTGTGGTACAAAAATTTAAATATGTTAAATTTTGGACTTTCCTGGTAAGAATTCTGCTTATCCAGATGTCAGGTTTATCCAGTGAAGGGGGGGGGGGGGTGTCCTTCCCATATAGTCCGAATAAGTGTGTTTAGACAGTATATATTACAAGAAGGATATTTTATCCAAACACAAAGTTGTTGGACAACTATAAACTGCCGACTCACCTAAAAGATGGTTGTAATTTTCGTCGACTGAAAACTGAATAGAAAATGATTATCTCTCCAACGTTACTTGAGATATTCCGTAGCATCCTTTGTGAAGGCGAGCAAATGATGGCGGTGTTTGTTGTCTAGGATCAGGCGGGTAATGGGGTCCTTGATCCCCAACGTAGACATATGGAAGACGAAGAACCCAATAAGCTGATGCAGAGAGCTTCACTGGTAGAGAGCTGCATGGCTGAGGTATGTAGCGTGGGCAGGGGTCTGGACCAGGCTGGACTTGAGGGCTCAGGGTTACATTGACTGGGGCTTTTGGTGTCACCACATGAAGACGCATCAACTGTCCACCACTGCGGCTACACCACAAATAATTGACTTTTTATATGGTGTAAACTAATTGCTAGTTTTTTATATAAAACACCAGATTTTGTATTTATAAGGTAAATATTGTACTGTACTCAGGTTTTCCTAAATTAAAAAAATGTATACGAGCTAGCCAAATTATTTTTCGTGAATAACAGCAAAGTACTGAAAAAAAATACAAATTCCAATGTCACTATAATAAATTATACATACCCACATGGACATGGGAAGTACAGTGGCATATCAGCATTAGCAATCTTTGTTGCATTGTCTTTCACTAAACCAGAGGGAGAGGCCTTTAGGTGGCGGTCAGGCGTCGCCATCATGAACCTATGACCACGGATGCATTCATATTCAACCCCAAGAAATATTTTCACACTGAATTCGTGGATATCTATAAAAGAATTTTAAAATACATTATTAAATAATTAATGCCATTTTTCACGTGGTATTCAGCAAATAAGGTATTTTATTTGCTGAATACAAATAGTAGTCAGCAAATAAGGTATTTTATTATGCAGAAAAAGCAAATAGTAAGGGAAAAAATTGAAATACATGAGCAAGTTCTTACACTGAAGCTACATTTGACAGTGCTGAGTGAAAACATTTATATTTAATAATAGTTTTTATATCAAATGATTAAATGTTTGCTTTTCTATTTTAATATCACACCAATGAGACCACAGCCAATATATAAATCTTAAGCAATTATTTATACCAATTTACAGTTTCTTGAAGCTATATATGCACTTCCTTTTTGGTGTACATTCTAACTGTATTGTTTCACCTTATGATCAATATTTCTTTCAAAACTATTGCAAAATACCCATCCCCCACATATTAACAGACCTGGCTATGGTACCAAAATACCCATCCCCCACATATTAACAGACCTGGCTATGGTACCAAAATACCCATCCCCCACATATTAACAGACCTGGCTATGGTACCAAAATACCCATCCCCCACATATTAACAGACCTGGCTATGGTACCAAAATACCCATCCCCCACATATTAACAGACCTGGCTATGGTACTAAAGGGCACAAGATCTTATTATCAACTGGCTTCAGGTATGCACATGCACAGATGAAGCATAACACAACCTGACTTCTGGATACTAAAAAGAGGAAGCATAAATCCTATTCAAACCATCTACAATGATTCACAATATCATAATGAAGACTTGCCATGCAGTGGAAAGAATTGAACATTATGCAGTACCAATATTTCATGAAAAAACATGCAGAAGGCACTAAACTACATGTCAGTTCCTGTCATGACCCATCTGAGGAAATATATTACTGTGTCAATCATTATGCAAACTTGATATGGATAATATGCACACATCAAGAGCACAAATTACTGCAAGACAACATGAATAAGGTACAAGTGGTTAAATAAGTGCCCACTAAAATGCCAACTCCAACAAATAGTCTCTCGCTGTTGGAGATAAAAAGCTTGTTAGGCTCATCAAAAGCCCCCAAAGACCAATGGCTGACCTTATCCAGGATGAAACCCCATAACATTTACCAAACTTTCATATACCTATTCACTTTTAAATGAATAGAAACATCAGTGGTAAGGAAACATACCCAAGCATCTCTCCCTGCTCGAGATAATGGTGGAAATTGCATACCACAGAAACTGAACAGATGGAGAAGGTGGCAAGTAAATGATTTGGAGTTTGATAAGAATCCAAAGGTGGATATTACAATTAAATTTATCCCTAGAAGCCTATATATAAACAGGAAAGCATTAGTAGCTTAGATAAAGGTAACAGACATTATACTGTACTAGTATCTGGAATCTAAATAAGGAATCATTCAGAACAATTCTTGTATTGTTCTGAACTGCCCAAATATTTATACACGAACTATAAGAGCAGTCTTAAAGCATGCAACTTCTGCATGGAACACACGTCCCGAAAAGCACAAAAAGAAACTAGAGGTGGTCCTCAGATATACAATAAAGTTTGTTCCAAAACTAAGAGTTCTTATCTGTGAGGTGAGGACAAGCTTAAAAAGTCAACTTAGAGAAGCAAGATAAGTGTATGAAAGTTTTCCTTCAGTATGCAAGTGGTCAAGAAATGGAATAAACAGAAAAAAATAACAAAATAAAGGCTAACTTAATACAGAATTTTAAAAGCAGATATGGCAAAGCATTTCAAAGTTGGAAGTAGTTGCACCAGCATGAAATCTACATAAATTTAAGAGACTCACCTCCTACTTTGTTTTTCTTGTTTTTGAGAAGCAGTGCCTTTTTACCGAGGGTATCTGCAATGGCTGGCCACTTGTCTCTGTCTTCTATTTTTACAGTTACATCCCATGGTAGGAGAAAATTAGTCCCCGGCAAGAAACCTGGTTGCTCACAGATTCCTAAAAAGCAAGAACATAGATACCTTCATAATTTGTGTTCTAGCTAAAAAAAATACAAATTGGGCATCGAACGTAGTGAAATGCTTATTGCAGACTATTTCTATATGATCCACCAATGACTTATCTACCAGGCTCTCAGGATTGTTATCCCTTTAGTGACAGAGTTTTGCAAGAAGTGCTGTCACTAACAGTATCTAGGGAAGTGAGAATGGCAACTCTAATGAAAGCAAGCACCAAGAGTGCTTGCTATAGTGTAAAGGAACAAAATCATAACAAAATTACACCTACAAGCTAAAATGAAAATTACAAAGAATGGCAAATATTGCTGTGTAAACTACTTTTAGTAGACCAAAACATAACACAAGAAGTGACATGACTGAAGTACTGTATACTAATGGACAAAAGACTATAACAAAGGGAGATATAAATCAAGTTTTAAATACAGAGTAACACGAAACAATGGATATAAACTGGATAAATTTAGATTAAGAGAGACCTGGGATAAATAATGATTGGAAATAGGGGAAAATAGATTTATGAAACAAATTACTTGGTAACATTGTAGATATGGGATCACTGGATCCCATTTCTATGAGATCTGCCTTATCAAAGGTATATATAAATGAGTTTAGGCGGATGTAAATAGGAGCTACCTTGCATGGATCAATAGGCCTTCTGCAGTTTTATTTATTCTTGTTATTAAGTTCATAAAAGAATATAAGAATAAGGAAATGCAGAAGGCCTATCTACCTCAGAACTCTTATTTAGCTTACTCAATAAAGTCCTGTGAAGCGATCTATGGTGTCCCTTTCTCTCCAGTCGCATGCAAGTTCCAATCAGCAACCAAGCACGAATACATTTACAGTGGAACCTCTATTAACGAGTGGCTCTATTAACGAGTTTTTCCAGTAACGAGCAAGCCACTCGCAGCAAATTTGTCTCTATTGACGAGCTCGCCTCTATTAACGAGTGAAACCACATGGCGCTTCCTAGCGTCTCGCGGGTTCTCGCAAATTCTCGGACGCCTCCGACGCCAGTGTTGTTGTTGTATCTCACACGACAAGCATCCCTCTGGATTTATTTGAGCTTTTCTTTGGGTTTTTAGTGGTTTTGCGACTACAATTTGTAACAAACGATGTCTCCAAAGAAGCTGCTTGCTAAAGATAGTGTTGTCAAGAGGAAGAAAGACACAATTACTGTGGATTTAAAGAAGGAAATTATAGCAAAGCATGAGTGTGGTGTCTGTGTGATTGATCTCACAAGGAAGTATGGCAGGTCCTCATCAACAATTTACACCATTAGTAAGGGAATGAGGAGGTAAGGGAGGATGCTGCCTCTTAAACTGAGATCAGGGAAGTGTTTGGAATGTTTGAAAAGGTGAACGCATTCTTGGAAAAGCTGCCCTGATAAAGCAGTGACAACCCGGTGTGTGAAAATGTTTAATTAATTTATCACTTTGTGATACTGTAACACTTTATGAAAGTGTTATCACTTTCGCAGGTATATGTCGCTTGAACATAACACACTTTTTTTCTCTTGAATGTTCCCAAACACCGCGCTCAAGCGTCATTTGAGCAAATATTTCTATAAAATCCAATTCTTATCCGATTGACTTGGGGATTGTATACAAGTTTGCCATGAAATTTCCGTTTTCTTTAATAACCACATTGCCTATTTGAGAAAACGGCATTGTATTGTATCTTCGGGGTAAGACTATTATATTGTTGACACAACGAGTGTAATCAACGTAGTTTTTTATTTGGTGCTGGTCTAACGCATCCTTGTGTGACATTTGAAATGAAATTTGGGTGAAATTCCCAAGAAGAGAGAGTCCGCCTGACTCAGAGGTGGATTCTCCTTCCACACCATAACCCCTCTCCTCCTTCCCACCTCTCCATTGTCTCCCTCAAGCCAGCAACTACTCTTCATAAGGTAAAGTAAATATTAAAACACTACAACAAAACATTTATATTTACATGTGCAGTATTATATTTACATAAAAAAAAGTCATACAAGTATGGATGTTTTTGGGAGTGGAACGGATTAAATTTATTTCCTTTATTTTAAATGGGGAAATTTGTTTCCAAAGACGAGTTTTCCAGGTAACGAGCTCGGTGCCAGAACGGATTAAACTCGTTAATAGAGGTTCCACTGTACTATATTAGGCCTCAGTGTGTACTGTACAGTATTAGGCCTAGGAAGATTAGGTTAGGTTGTCTTTGCAACATAAATACAATACCTTTTCCAGTTTGTCCAATTTCAATAGTACTGATTTCTACTTTCTAATTATCCCATCAAGTCATATGTATTATGGTCCTCATCATTACTATCAGTACAGGTACAGTACTAAGTAAACAGAAGGACTACTGCACCCTCGGAGAGGGGTCAGTAGTTTGACCTTCGGAGGGCCTCTCAATATAAGCCTAATATGTATGTATGTGTGTGTACTCACCTAATTGTGCTTGCAGGGGTTGAGCTTTGGCTCTTTGGTCCCGCCTCTCAACCGTCAATCAACTGATGTACAGATTCCTGAGCCTACTGGGCTCTATCATATCTACATTTGAAACTGTGTATGTAGTCAGCCTCCACCACATCACTTCCTAGTGCATTCCATTTACTAACTACTCTGACACTGAAAAAGTTCTTTCTAACATCTCTGTGGCTCATTTGGGTACTCAGCTTCCACCTGTGTCCCCTTGTTCGCGTCCCACCAGTGTTGAATAGTTCATTATTGTTTACCCGGTTGATTCCCCTGAGGATTTTGTAGGTTGTGATCATGTGATCATGTGTGTGTGCACACATGTGTGTGTGTATATATACTGTATATATATATATATACACACATATACACACACACACACACTGGCTGCCTGTCCCCCAGACAAAATGAATTAATATAAATAAATTAATCAGTTAAATAAAAAACTGGTAATGAATGAAGAAATATGCAGATTGAACTACTGAAACTCATTCTTGATTGTCTAAGATGGTATTTCACTAATTTTGAGATTTTCAACACAACACAGCCTGGAATGCATGAATACAAAGTCTAACAAACCAGCATTATGAGAATAGAGAGAAGAAGGGCCGAGGCAACACAGAGACCAGGATGACCATCTAGGCAGCAGTCCAGGAGGGGAAGCAGTGTGAAGCATCCCAGGCAGGTATTCTGTTGTTGATGCTTGCCGTATTATTCCACGATCTGTTACAAATAATTTTATAAGCTCCTCATTTATAATTAATTGTTCAAAGTGTTAGACTAGTAAGCCTTTTTGCCAATAGAGAAGTTAAAATATTTACTTTCTTTCAAAATGACTCCTCCACTTTTATATGTACCATGCTACTTGCTCTAAATTTCTGGCTGTGTTCATAATCTACACAAGAAGTATTCTTACACCATATTCTTACTCAATTTGACAACAGTACAAGAATGTAAACAATGTAAACCATATAATGTAGTTTTAAGTATGCAAAATGGATTGATTGCAAAAATGAAAAAACCCAGTATCCTAAAAAGTATTTTAATCTTCTACAAAAAAACTAAAAAATTAGATTAATATTGGTGTAAAGAAGTTATGGAATATTCTACTAGTATTTCTCACATTCTGTGGGAGTATATACCGATTAAAATCTTAAATTTGATCTCCTTATATAATGGATATCCATCACGGGAACCTGATTTAACAGCTTTTCAATCTAATCGCCAGTCTTCTCCACAGACCAACAACTAAAACCTATTTTTAAGTCTGACTCCATTACTTTCTCTCTAGAGTTGAATAAAACTGCATCAATAGAATTGTGTTATGAATATGCTTTACTGGATTTGTACTGCTGTAAGACAGTGGTCAATGCAGTTGGTTCACAACTAAAAGGTGCCAGGTTTGATTCCTGTGTAGATCGGAGACGAGTGTGAACACTTCCTTACACCTGCTGCAGTATTCACACAGTAGTAAATAAGTACCTGGGAGTTAGTCAACTTTTGTTGGTTGTATCCTAGGAAATATACCATAATAAGACTGACAGGCTTTCTGTTTCTGACATTCAGATACCATCTCCTACAGTTATGCTCTTTTGTAAACATTTTAATAACCATAATGAGATCAATATTAAAGAAGATATAGTACATACTCTCTTTTTTCCCCACACTCAGAAAATCTTCATTTCTCCAGAAATAACAGGTTATTTTGTACTTGACTAAACAAAAATTGAATAAGTGCCCTACCTTTTGTAATGGCCTTTGAGTCATCCTTTGTGAGGGTGATGACAACCTGGGAGCCCATGTGAGTTTGATCTCCTGTCATACGTGCTGCAGCTGTCCCAGTAGCATTGTTCATACTCCCACTCAGTCCCGTTCCAACCAGACTGAGGCCTGGAGTATGAGGGGTTCCGGAGTTCAGTTGCTCACGAGTATTACAATTCACCGTACTAGGACTATCAATCTCCATCTCGTCATCTTCTGATCCATCAACTTTGGCAGCTGTAAAAAATATAAATGCTTTGTCTATCATATAAACATATCGTATTCTCAATAATATTTAATACTTGTCTTGATTAATCACTGTAAAGAAACAAAAATGTGTTAATTTTACTGTACTGCATTTAAGTGAACAGATTTTCTTTAGTAAGCTGAACATTGTTTTGTATCAAGTCTTCTGATGCCTAAATGTAAGTATACCTCGACATATATGTTATGACTACCAGTCACTCATAAACCTGATGTCCAGTTGATGAGTGATAGTCACTTTAGAGTAATATCTTCTACGTAATATTAAGAGTCTACCTTTATAGGTGCCTAACCCCGGTCAATGGCAGACAAGGAATACCCCCAAATACAAGGGGGGGGGTCTCCTTAAGCCATTGCTCTCTGTGCCTCTCTGAGGGGGGGGGGCCAGGTTCCTGCTCTGGTCCCGGTAGGCAGGACTCCATTGACTGAAGCCCCAGATTAATATAGAGCACAACAGTCCTATGGCTCCAGGGAGCCAGAGGGGCTCCCACAGAAATGAAAATCATTCCACATATCAGCTGAATAAGGAAAGATATGCTAGACTTCAATATGAAGTTAGACAAATATGTTGATGATTTAAAGGATGAAAATATTTTCTTTATCCATATGTAGTACATGCAGAGTTTGTCAAGTTATAGAACACACATCAACATAGCACATTCATCTTAACAGTCTGCTTCTGAGTTAGAAAACAACAAATTAAAATTAACATCTGATAACCTAAAAGAGTATTTCATGAAATTGTTTCTGACCTTTGGCATTGGTGACACTAGGTATGAATGTAGGGAAAGGTATAGATTCCAGTCGGATACAGCATGATTCAGCCAAATGCTGATAGAAGGTGTAATTTGCAGCCTTAACTGAGAAAGAGTCTTCACGTTGACCTTGCCGTCGCCCACAGTTGCAAAAACTGATGTACATCACACCAGAATTGTGGATCATAACAGGAAGCGAGCTGAAAATAAAATATACATAATGAAAACCGCTTGTCATTCTGAAATAATGTTAAGCTCATACAACAAATGATACCTAACAAAACTCAGACTCATCCTTCTCTTAACCCTTTCACATTTTTGTCCCCTTACCAATTTTGGCCGCTACCAGTGTCTTGGGCCAAGTGCAAAACCCTTAGCAATATTTTAATTCCAATGCATCCTGCAAGGTTACTATGCATGGTAAAGTGTTCACTTTGGTATAATTTTTTAGCTAAAGAGTTGTATTTTATTTCCTAGGCTGCTCTTGTGATTATACCCTGCAACATACCAAGGTGCTAGAAAAAAAAAGGCATTGAATGTAATGAAACGCCATTTTCTGGGAGAGACCCAGAGGCTCCCCAGAGATAACCCCCGAAAGATGCATGAATTAAAGTTACCCGTATGAGTTTTTACTAAATCAACCACGTCCATCAGTCACATTACACAGGTCAATTAAATTGTATTTTTATATGTTGTACATTTATTTGATTAATTATTAAGCATCTCCTTAATCACTGCACTGTGCAACGCACCTTGAGGCTCTCGACGGGTGGTGCACAACGCGCCTCAGGGATCTTATAGGTATTGCATATCATTCAAAACTCCCGTGGCTACACGCGGTTCACTTCAGCTTCCTCAGGGCTCTCCTAAACAGACGCCATTTTTTTTAAATCGTGGGCAACATTCTCAGGTGTGAAGGCCTCAGTACTGAGTGAGCAACCAAGGCTGGTGCACATAGCATGAGCTAACAGCATTGCTGTTCAGCTTTTGACCACAGCATCGCCTAAAATTTTCTAAATATGCATGTATCTGGTATTATTTAGCCATGATAGTATTACAGCAGAGCCTGACTGTGACAAAGACTGTGTACAATGTTCAGATATCAGAATAAATGCTGTTCCAAGATGTTCACAGCGCTAGCCACAGCACACTGCCATTATTTCGTTCATCTAAAATACTTCAAACGATTTCTCATGCTCCTTTACAAAATAAATATGTGGAAAATTATTCATTAACATGATTTAGCGACCAGGATTCTGATAATAGCAGGATTGTGGTGAGAATTAGCAATGTGAATTAGCAGTGGGAGGAGTATTGTTGGTGAGGGAGGGAGGGAGAGGTGGCATTGGCTGTTGGCTGGTGTGTGGAAACATGTTTAACATGAAACATGTTGTCTGGAATCACCATACCAGCTTAGTGGTTCGCTATGGTGAACACAAAAGTAGATACTTATGTGTGTGTGTATAGAGTGTAATAATAGCAAAAGGCTTATGTTGGGAGGAGCCATTTAGGTGAGGGAGTGAATTGAGGCTGTTGCCTGCTGTGTGACGTGTCATGCAGTGGCCACTATTCTGTTTGGACAATATACCAGCTTATTTGTATAGTTATGGTGAATAAAACATGTAGATACTTATATATAACGTGTGTATACAGTATAGTGTAATAAAACCACAAACAGTACTGTGGGAAAAGTAATGTTGGTGAGTTAACTGTTGAAGGAGTGAGGGAGGGCTGGCTGGGTGTGGCAGCCCACTCTTGTTTTTTGGGCTCACCATACCAACTTAGTGGTTCGCTATGGTGAACACACACATGTAAATAGGTATATACAATGTGTGTGTGTATATAGTGTAATAACAGCAAAAACACTGTTTGATTGATCGTAGAATATATTATACATGTCGCATATATGAACCCCATAATTTTGAGCATAGCGATGTTCCACACATTGAACTATATAAATTCCACAAATTACACACCTTTGAATAATATTACAGCATAAAACCAGAGAACAAACGAATGAGAAACATCAAAATAATTGTGAAACATTATACTGTATTCGCAGCAACTGCCGCCCCACGGGGTGGCGGGGCCTAGTGACCTTGAGTGCTCCACCGCTCAGCGCCCATAATTTGCTCAACTTCTCAGCTGCATCACTACTAAAGTATGTCTCATACAATTTTTTTATTTTTTTTAAGTTTCTCATGATCAGAGACTGTGTTTTAACAATATAAGAGAAAATAGTTTTTTTGGAAAGAGTTTATTTTTGGCGCACAACTGGTGTGTCATACTTTAATGCAGAGCAGTGCAGTGTTTAACATAATAAAATAAATCTTGACTAAAGAGTCAAAAACTTTAAATTAGCTTACCCGATATCTTGATACTGAATTTGGTCACGGGGTAAATACTTAAAGAATGCTGCTGCACTTGATAGTCTTGTTTTGCCAAGGACGACAAATAACATCGGCTGCTAACTTACTTATCAATGCAAAAAATGTACAGTATATTCCAGTGTCTTCTTACCTATCATCATTCGTATCATTAGGAGTCCTGTGTCTTGGATGCTTGCATGTATTGCCTGTCAGCGATAATGTCTCACAACCCATGCGGCCATCTTGCCATATTCGTTCACAAGCTTCCTCTAGCTGTGTTACATACTCCTCATACATTGGTCCACGAGCTTGTGCACTAAGTACATTTTGGGCCAAATCCAGCTGTAATTCAGAAATGTGTAGAGGTTATTTAATATACCCAGTATCTGTTTACTGTCTAATAACCATAAGCACTAAAGTCTAGGTACTGAACATGAAACATAACATCATAATCTTCACCACACTCTTACTCTTATCTCTGTTAAGATAACATTATTCTGTACAGTATACTTACAGAAATGTTTATTACATTATTATAACAATAATTAAATCTTCTACACACAAAAGTATGGAGATAATAACACGGAGACAGACTTACTCAGACACTGCTTAATATTTGTTCTCCCACTTATAAGTCTTGCTACTTTATATTTGGCATAGGGCTATCTACTCCCATGCCCACCAAATATTTCTTTAAGTTATATATTCATATAAAAGTACAGCATTACTTGAATCTAAATACTGTATGGGAAAATAATTTGTTTTCATAAATCATTACTGTTCAACTTATAAATTCCAGCATTTATCCATCAATTATCATTACCCTTTTTCCCATTGCTCAAGCATGGAAGAACTTTCTGCCATAGCAAGGTTAACATTAGAATCTTAATCAGCTGAAACTAGATACATACTGCATTCATGTTAAATACATTTTATAAAACTTATACGTACTTGATTCAGCTCGCACCCGAAAAAGCTTGCACCTAAGCAAGACAACCCCCAATAAATCATTGCCTTATCAAAGTGCTGTACAGATATGTACACTATTTTTTTTTATACATTTGCACTTGTATTACCCAGTAAATTTATTTAGTTGAATCGAAGATATGTTAGCTTCCAACTAACCTTCTCTTGATGATGCATCTGTGTATAGTGGGGAGGAAGGCCATCCTTGTAAGCAGAAACCGCTAGAGGCAATACCTTGGCGCACCGTGCATCACTGAACCGAACTTCAGTCTCTACGAGGTTTTGTAAACTACCTAAAATCTAGAAAAATATGATAGTGAATTTAACATTTCCAAATGAAGGCAACATATTTCTAAATGATCATATTTCCATAAAAAAAACAGCATTGAATGTAATGAAATGGCATTTCCTGGGTGAGACCCAGAGGCTCCCCAGAGTTATACTGGGCTGATGTGTATATATTAGACCATGACAACAGTTAATCGATGGAGTTCCACGCCTACAGGGGACCAGCACTTGAGCCTGGCTCTAGTGCTGGTCCCCTGCTGGTTGGGATTTCTACCTTCCTGGGTGCCTGACCTGGTAGATGGCAGATATAGACTGCTTCCAACTACACGGGGATGTCTATAGGGCATTGTTCCTCGTGCCACTCTGAGGAGGCCAGGTTCTGGCACTGGTCTTCTGGTAGGCCCCATCGATTGACTGTTGCCGTGGTCTAATAAATACACATCAGCCAGGAATAGCTCTGAGGAGCTGAACCACAGAAAATGAGCAAATTTAAATTTTTCTTAAGATTATATATATTTCAAAACATTCATCAATATTAACTCTACAAATTAAATCTGTTATAATATTTATCACTTTCAATTTCTTTAAAATGGACAAAATTAAAATATACCCATTATAAAAACTTGCCTGTTTTACTTTTGTGTCTTTCTCTGGGGACTGTGCCATGAAAAATGTGTACACCCTATTTACAGCATCAAACCAAACATTAGCCCGAGGTACCTGCAACCCATGAGATATCTTTATCAACTACAGTATTAAACATTTATTTTAATACAACAATAACAAAAGTTATACAATTATAAGAACCTTGGAATTAAATTTTGTTTTATAAAAATCTGTTGTAATTACCTACCAGCATCAAAATTTAAAACAATACAGCGTATAAATTATGATATTGAACCGAGGCAACTCCAAAACCATACAATGAACATACAGTAATACTTCACTGGACTTCCATTATAGGGTTATTCTAGTTACTGAATTACAATATACAAGTTGTTAAGAGGGACTAATCTGGAAGACGGCAGCACCGCACGTCTCATGGGGAAAGAAGGAAATTGCATAATGGGAAGGGGAGCTACTGAGAGGACTACCAGAAAGGGGCCTTTCATTACCTTCATTACCTGATTTCTGGGTTAACTTCCTCAGTAGCCCATGGAGTTTACTCAATTGTGCCTTGGAATGGAGGATGTTTTTGCTAAAAGAACAAAGCCAGAAAATGGCTGCGAGACAAAAGAAGTAAGCTGAAAACCAGGGTACAGAAAGAAGTACGAGCGAGCTATCTCGCTCAAATACTTGATAAAATTAATCTATTATAGGTGCAAACTATAACACCTACCTGGAAAAATACTGGCCCAGAGTGTCTTCCTACATTGTCATCAAATCCTTTCCCTAATGCTTGGTCTATGTGTTGTTGTAGGAATACATTGAAGCGGTGCTCTGTAAACAAATCAGTCATAATTATCTAGAATACAGCAAAACACATGTGTGTATCACACAGAAAATAAAGGACTTTCCATGAGATCCATCAAAATACAGTAGTTAGAAGTCTTACCTAAATTTCGTTTTCGTTCTGTGGCCACTCCTGCCAAGATAGATGCACTTAATGCATCTGCGCTAGTAGTATCCGAGAGTGTGGAATGAGACGAGTTAGAGTCCCATCCACTGCCAGAAGCCAAACCACCACCCATACCCCTGCCGCCTCTGTTGCTTCCACCTTCAATGAGGAGAGTTTTGCTGCCTGATCCTAGGGTCAGCTGATTCAGGTCACCAATGAAGCCTTCTGTTCATAAATAAAAATAAATATTGTAACTATATATTTGTCAACTGCATCTGAATAAAGGTTTTCCTTGTCCACCTGTACCAAGCATATCTTAATACAAACAATATGAAATATTCCATAAAACTCAATTCCTGACTATCTTATGATAAAAATATGAAATGTCCTTAAAAATTTATCCTTCTACCACATACAGTACTTGGGGTGGACTGGTAGAGCAAAAGTCTCGCTTCATGCGAGACTTTGGACCCGAGAGTCTGTTATTTTCTCTTGTTGTTTAACTTTCTTTCAATAATTCAATCTCAATTTGCAAACATAACTTTAATACTACAGTGCTTAATTCCATTAGGCTGGCTACCCAACTCACAAATCTGAAAATGAAGAACTGACAATGTTTTGGTTTGTCCTGGACCAATATTAATTCGTGTAATGAAAACGAGTGGTAGAGAGAGAATTCTTAACTTAAGAGGGCGAGATGAAGGTGAGAGCGAGATGAGGGTAAGAATGAAAGAAAACATAGGTAACAGTCCATTCTTCAGTCATATTATTAAATCATCTCTACTAGGCTGTTTTGACTTTACCCATGGGAAGAGAGGAAGAGGGAGGGGGGGGGGGGCCGGAGGATTGAAGTACCATTTGGGCTAAGCTATTTCCAGGGTGAGAGGCATGTATGATGATCTAGTCATTCCCCTATCATTCACTTAGAAGGTTTCGGTAATAAACTGGTCATACCTAATTAGAGAGTACAGTAGATAAGTGCAGTACTGTACTATACTATATGTGTATTTTTGGAAAAGCCACCCAGTGGCTTTCTTAAGCCATTTCGCTGAGATTGCTCCTAGCTACTAGGTTACACCAGTTGTGGAAGTTCTGTTTGACCTACCGGGGACCAGATCCAGAATTTGGCCTGTGTCACAGGCAGAGAGAGCAAGTGACATTCAGCCACTCCACTGGGAAAGCATCTAGAAAGTCAGTGAAGCATAACAGACAACTGCGAGGTTCACAGAAAATGAAGCCTCAAATCTGCCAAACAACTCCCCAAAACAATTTAAAATAACAATATTTAAAACTATCTTGCACTTGTTAGCCCAAGCCCCCCCCCCCTCCCCCATGTCAACCATTTCAGGTCAGTTTTGTTGCTGTAGTGCTTCTTGGTCACCATCAGAAGTGGGAAGTCCCCATGTTTCTAAACTAAGTAATTACCTAAGTGTAATTACCTAAGTGTAGTTACAGGATGAGAGCTACGCTCGTGGTGTCCCGTCTTCCCAGCACTCTTTGTCCTATAACGCTTTGAAACTACTGACGGTCTTGGCCTCCACCACCTTCTCACTTAACTTGTTCCAACCGTCTACCACTCTATTTGCGAAGGTGAATTTTCTTATATTTCTTCAGCATCTGTGTTTGTGCTGTGCCATCCATAGACTTTGTCTTGTGGAAGCCATTTGCTTGGGTATTGTTTAAATTTTTTGGTATTTACTTCAAAAGCATGTTTTCTATCTCACTAGTTGTGTGGACTTGGCTCATTTAATGCTTGTGGATGCAAGAGCTCAGGGTTCCCTTCCCTGGGCACTCAGTAGCACTTTCCCCACACAGTGTATGGTGGCCACTGTGTGGTTTGGACACAATACCAGCTTAGTTGTATAGTTATGATGAATAAAACATGTAGATACATATACATAACGTGTGTAAATAGTGTAATAAAAACAATAACAGTACAGTGGGAGGAGGAATGTTGGTGAGTAAGGTGTTGGAGGAGTGAGGGAGGGCTGGCTGGGTGTGGTAGCTCTCACTCGCAGAGTTCTGAGTGTGTCGATGGTGAATATATGTAGTGTGATAGTGTATAGTGTGTAAATATGTTGTAAATATACATAAATGAACATGAAACATTGGAAATATGAGCAATATATGTGGACAGATTTGTGACATGTAACAAAGTGTCTTGGGACAGTAGGAATGTTCTACTGCCATAATATTGTGTATGTATTCATTATACATAGGACTGGCAAGAAAAAACAAAACAAATGTATTTGGAAATGTACACAAAAAATTAACAAAAAATTATATGTGGCAACCCATGCATGTTGAAGTTGGTGCGCGACCTGCTCAAGGAGTCTACGCCACGGGCGACCACCAAATCGTGACATCACGTGCCATTTTCCGGACCCCCATTGTGGCCAAAGTAAGTACAATTTCATTTTTTTTCTTTTTTTTTTGCATATCTGATCAGGGAATGGTTTTAACATTTTTAAAAACAAAAAAAAATCCCAAGAATTTATTTCCTGCGCACGGTGGGAGCCTGAATATTTGGAGCCCGAACAGCACAGTGGTTAATAAATTATCATAAAATATTATAGCTTAATATCACTAGTCATTGCTCCTATCCCTCACCCACATTCAACATAAGCACTCACCAAGATGTTCTTGCGGGGTTTGGGCTTAAGCTCTTTGGTTCCGCCTCTCAACGCTCAATTAACTCGTGTACAGATTCCTTCCTAAGTATATTGTACATACTATACCTTGTGAAGAGCAGAGTTTTTGAAGAGTATTACTGATGAGAGATGATGCAGGAACCTCTTCCTGGCTCTCCTCCATAATGTAAACATATGCCTGGTTGTTGGGCAATGCAAAGAGTGAATTTGCACTGTAAGAAGAGAGATTTACTTGTCATTTTTATTATTCAAAATTTACTAGCTTCTTAAGTGCCTTTTCCAACATTCATATAATAATTTGTTTGATTTAACTGAAAAGGTTACAAATTAAAATTATTATAATCCCTCTATGCCCATAACAATTCTACAAGTAATAAGAGGCAATGGACAAGTATTACAAATTCCAGCTATTAATACTGTATTCCAAAGGCAGGTATTCAATTAATAGTGAAATTATATACTGCACATGTCATTTAACAGTAATTCCAAAAAGGAGGCCAAGTCACTAATTAAGACACCTCAAGATTTTGGCAACATCACACCAGCAGACTGTCTTCTTGAGGTTATCTCGAGATGATTTCGGGGCTTTAGTGTCCCCGCGGCCCGGTCCTCGACTAGGCCTCCACTCCCCAGAAAGCAGCCCGTAGCAGCTGTCTAACTCCCAGGTACTTATTTACTGCTAGGTAACAGGGGCATAAGGGTGAAAGAAACATTCCTTGTTTTCTTTTGGGGAAGTTCTGTTTCTCTGTTCAGTCTTGGGTTTGCAATTTCCTACCAAGTGAGTTTTGTTTTGGAACGCTTATCTTTCTGGGTGCCTAACCCCGGTCGATGGCAGACACGGAATGCTCCCAAATACAATGGCCTATTTCCTTAGGATATTGCTCACTGTGTCTCTCTGAAGGGGGCCAGGTTCTGGCTCGTGGTCCTTGGTAGGCAGAACTCCATTGACTGAAGCCCCAGACTAATACAGCGTATATCAGTCCAATAGCTCCAGGGAGCCGAAAGGACTCTCCACAGAAATGGTAGCAGAATTTTAGCAAGCCTAAGCAAGCCAAGCCACCCAGCCTGAGGGTGGACTATATACACTACTCAACACTTTCGCGCTCTGGGCGCACGACCTCCCCACTACCCCGGGTGGGTTTGGGTATTCCATAGGGCCTTGCGGTAATTCTGAAAAGTGTATACTCTTTTCAACTTTGTCACCTCAATTCTCGTCCTAGGATTTGCAATTTGGTATCATTGTGTTCGCAATAGAATTCTCTACAGAACTAAATTCATTTAAACTCCAAAAGCCTGGCTTACCACCCGCAGCAAACAGAGAAAGTGAGAGCGAGTAACTCGGGAGCGCGCAAGAGTGATAAAATGTGTACACTCTTTTCACTTTGGTCATCTCAATTCTCGTCCTAGGCCTTTCGTTTTGGTATCAATGTGTTCGCAATAGAATTCCCAACAGGAGTAGATGCATATAATGTAAAAAAAATGCAGTGCGCTCCACCCGCCGACAAGAGGAAAGAGAGAGCTGCGCCACCCCAAGGCTCTTCTCATTACATTCGAGAGCGCAGTAATACTGAAGTGTATACTCTTTTCAACTTTGTCACCTCAATTCTCATCCTAGGATTTTCAATTTGGCATCATTGTGTTCGCAATAGAATTCTCTACAGGACTAAATGCATATAAAGCCCAAAAGCCCTGCGAGAAAGTGAGAGCGTGTTACCCAGGAGCATGCAAGAGCAATAAAATGTGTACACTCTCTTCACTTTGGACATCCCAATTCTCGTCCTAGGTCTTTCATTTTGGTATCATTATGTTTGCAAAAGAATTCCCTACAGGAGAATATGCAAATATAAAGTCCAAAAGCCCGGCGTACCACCCACAGCATACAGAAACAGTCACGGAGCGTTACCCCAGTGAGCGCTAATAAAGAGCAATAAAATGGGTATACTCTTTTCAACTTTGTTACTTCAATTCTGATCCTAGGTCTTTCATTTTGGTATCAATGTATTCACAATGAAATTCCCTGCAGGAGTTTATGCATATAATGTCCAAAAACCACGATAAGACCTTCCCAAAAACGCCGCTATGTTGCCGAACCGAGGACTCGATGCCGAGTCCTTACCGAACTTCCCTCTATTTAACGAAGGACTCAATGCCGAGTTGTCGAGGAGCGAAAGTGTTAAAAGTAGATTTTCCATATTCTACAATGCCAGCCATTCACAATAACATGCACTATATTAAAAACAAGTCACACCTAATATTGGTAATAACTCTGCTTTTCCGGAGAAGACGATAAATTTGATCTTCAAGGGCAAGTTCCAAATTGCGAAGGGGGCCCGGTACATTGGAATTCCTTGAGGTCCTCTGTGCACCTGACCTGTCGATTTAATAATTTCAAATTAGCTGTACAGTACATGGAAAATCACTCATTGTAAGTAATAAAATGCCCTTTTCTGGAGGACCCCCAGTAGCTCCCCGAGCTTATTAACAATGGCTTTATCAAGATGAAAATAAATAACAATAAATAAATAATAACAAGTAATAATAATAAATAATAATAATAGTAATAATAAATAAATAATAAATAGTAATAATAAAAAATAATAATAATAATAATACTGTACTAGTAATAATAATACTACACAGAGTAATCACACTAATGTGATGTGTCAATGGTCATGGCCTAGTTGACTAGGGCATGTGGGTGAGAACACCCACCACATAGGTTCGAATCCCTCATCACGGCTCCTAAGAATTTTCTCAATAATAATAATAATAATAATAATAATAATAATAATAATAATAATAATAAATAATAATAATAATAATAATAATTTTTATTTAAGTAAAAGCACATACATATTGTACATTCCTCTCAATGTTTGCTGATGATGCAAAAATTATGAGAAGAATCAAGACAGATGAAGATAAACAGACTACAGGACGACCTGGACAAACTGGAGGAATGTCCTAGAAAATGGCTACTAAAGTTTAAATCAGGAAAGTGTAATGTAATGAAATTAGGTGAAGGGAGTAGAAGGTACCATCTGGGAGGTGAAATCCTGCAAGAGTCAAATAGAGAAAGATTTAAGGGTTGATATCACATTGATCCTGTCCCCAGAAGCCCACATCAAAAGGATACCATCAGCTGCATATGCTAGATTGGCCAACATAAGAACTGCCTTTAGAAACCTGTGTAAGGAGTCATTTAGAACCTTTAGCTCCTTTTTTTTTTTTTTTTTTTTTTGAGGGGAAAAAAAGGTTGACTGACAGTTGAGAGACGGGCCAAAAGAGCCAGAGCTCAACTCCCGCAAGCACAACTAGGTCAATACAACCAGTTGACTCACTTGCTGGCACTGCAACCCAGCACTAGGTGGCAACACCTGTCCTGAACACACAGGGATGGCCCAAAAGATACTGAATGACCAACTCAGAAAGGAGCATTTTATCTACATTCACTGCCTTATTTCTGAGCCCAGGACATTTGGTCTTCCTTTAGGCAAAATCACCATGGTTACCTGACAGATATGCAATATGACCAGCACATATGCTCATAAAGCACTAGACCCAAAGTGTGCACATTAGTCCAAAGAGAAGCTGGCCAATTCATCTGACAGAATATAGCTTAGCACTCCACCATACTGACTTCATCCCTCCCTAATTTCCTTTTATATTCCCTACCTAATTCCCTTGTGTATCCCACAGATTTGATAAAATCCTTACAGTCAAAACATTGTCTACAAATAAAGTTTACTCTCATTTTGTTGTTTCTTTCCTAACATAATGTTTTCCACTATCCTTTCATCTTGTTTCTTAGCCTTTATTATTATCACTGGTAGTTTGATAAACATTGATCAATTCAAATACAGTACACTCCTTTTGTCACAATCTATAATGTGAAAAACTAGATAGAACATGCAAATTAGAAAGCCTTCTGAATTACCTTTGTCCAGATATATTATCCTGAGATTTAATCTGTATGGGCAATAGCCTTGATGAGAAGATGAAGAGAACACGAGGTGCACATAAACGACCAAATGAGACCCAGTTATTGCTGATACCAGGCACTTGTCTTAGCACTTCAGCAAGGTAGTTTTGAGCTTTAGATCTGGAAAACAAAAATACGAATGGTCATAGGCAGTTTCAATATCGTATTATATCGATATTGCAATATCGTATACAATATTGTATTGCAGCAATTACATCACAATACACTAGCATATGTAAAATATTATATATCATCATTAACTTTGCTGAATTCTTGTTAACACACATTACATATGATAGATGACAGCACTCTTGAAGAAAACAAATTAGCTACATGGAGAATAATAAGTACAGAACAGTACAACCTCGATTCGATCTACCCTGATTCGGAGTATCTTCAGCTAGGGCGCACACTTTCAAGCTGGATTTACTCACCCGGTTCGACGAACTCTGGTTCACCGAAGCGAGGGATGAGCGGATTTGCTTATGATGTTAGGACAGAGTTCACAGACTGGTGGAAAACATTCCCATTCTATCACAGGTTACAATTAATAATCCCTTCATATGACAAGTTGGATCACACAAGTGGGCCACACAACAAGTGAACCATATTAATCAAACACCAGCCAGAGTGGTCCACACAACACGTGAACCATATTAACCAAACACCAGCCAGAGTGGTCCACACAACACGTGAACCATATTAACCAAACACCAGCCAGAGTGGTCCACACAACAAGTGAACCATATTAACCAAACACCAGCCAGAGTGGTCCACACAACACGTGAACTATATTAACCAAACACCAGCCAAGGTGATCCACACAACACGTGAACCATATTAATCAAACACCAGCCAGAGTGGTCCACACAAGTGAACAACTGAGTTTCCATGATTTTCGTTCACCGATTTGTGGTACACATATCTTTGTAAATTAATTTAAAGATTGAAGTGTGAATAGCTAGCTACATTTGTTAAAATCTTCTTGTATACATTTTCTATGATGAAACAAGATAAGTGAAATAGCCACCCTCCCACCCACACCACCCCACCCAAATAGCCGGCGATTATCGAGGCGTAATCCAGGTCACGCAGGAGGCAAGTTGGTTGATACCTGGTTGATGGGGTTCTGGGAGTTCTTCTACTCCCCAAGCCCGGCCCGAGGCCAGGCTCGACTTGTGAGAGTTTGGTCCACCAGGCTGTTGCTTGGAGCGGCCCGCAGGCCCACATACCCACCACAGCCCGGTTGGTCCGGCACTCCTTGGAGGAATAAATCTAGTTTCCTCTTGAAAATGTCCACGGTTGTTCCGGCAATATTTCTTATGCTTGCTGGGAGGACGTTGAACAACCGCGGACCTCTGATGTTTATACAGTGTTCTCTGATTGTGCCTATGGCACCTCTGCTCTTCATTGGTTCTATTCTACATTTTCTTCCATGTCGTTCACTCCAGTACGTTGTTATTTTACTGTGTAGATTTGGTACTTGGCCCTCCAGTATCTTCCAGGTGTATATTATTTGATATCTCTCTCGTCTTCTTTCTAGTGAGTACATTTGGAGGGCTTTGAGACGATCCCAATAATTTAGGTGCTTTATTGCGTCTATGCGTGCCGTATATGTTCTCTGTATTCCCTCTATTTCAGCAATCTCTCCTGCTTTGAAGGGGGAAGTGAGTACTGAGCAGTACTCAAGACGGGACAACACAAGTGCCTTGAAGAGTACAACCATTGTGATGGGATCCCTGGATTTGAAAGTTCTCGTAATCCATCCTATCATTTTTCTGGCTGTCGCAATATTTGCTTGGTTATGCTCCTTAAACGTTAGGTCGTCCGACATTATTATTCCCAAATCCTTTACATGCTGTTTTCCTACTATGGGTACATTTGATTGTGTTTTGTACTCTGTATTATGTTTAAGGTCCTCATTTTTACCGTACCTGAGTACCTGGAATTTATCACTGTTAAACATCATGTTATTTTCTGATGCCCAGTCGAAAACTTTATTAATATCAGCTTGAAGTTTTTCAATGTCCTCAGCCGAGGTAATTTTCATACTGATTTTTGTGTCATCTGCAAAGGATGATACGAAGCTGTGACTTGTATTTTTGTCTATATCTGATATGAGAATAAGGAAAAGCAGTGGTGCAAGGACTGTACCCTGAGGTACAGGGAGTTCTGTCCAACAATTCGTCTTTCAGTAGCATTTTTTTTTACCAGATAGGGTTTGTTTTGGGGGCGAATACCTTTCTGGGTGCCTGACCCAGCTGCAATGGTGAAAACAAGCTGCACAGTACCTTGCACCCCTACCAGTGACAAAAACTACCTCCTACCCAAAGACAAACAGTGGTGCATGAAACACCCCAGCTGACCAAGGGCGGGCAATTGCCGAGCACCAAAAGACTCCCATGGAGGTAGACTCCGGTAGGTGTACTTACAGGGCACTTAGGGAAGGCAACTCTAACCACAAGGCACAGCACTGGAAAATATTTAGAGCCAGAGTCGCACGACGGCCAGGTCTCACATCAGCCACAGAACTGGGAGGTGGATAGCAAAGGGGTCTTGAGCTCCCCCCTTTCCCCTCCCAGGGAGGGGGCAGCTGCGCAGACAGCGGTGTGGTGACGGTTGTGACGTCGTGCTCGTTTGCTCATTTTTAGTTGGGGAGTTCTGTCCAACAATTCGTCTTTCAGTAGCATTTTTTTTTACCAGATAGGGTTTGTTTTGGGGGCGAATACCTTTCTGGGTGCCTGACCCAGTCGATGGCAGACATAAAAGGCTTCTAACCATATGGATTTCTATAAACCATTGCGCCTCGTGTCTCTTTGAGGGGGAGGGCCAGGTTCTGGCTCGTGATTCCCGGTAGGTCTACGAACTCCATTCGCTAGACTGATGCCAGGGGTCTAATACATGCATATCAGCCCGGATAGCTCCATTTAGCCAAAGGGGCTCCCCCCCAGAAACAGACAACTTTGATAAAAAGAACAACGCCATCATTCAAGGTAAATAATATGCTGCATTTTAATGTCCCAAAATTATTGGTTTTGTGATTGATTGAGAGAGATTATAGCAATGCACCTATGAAAATCTCATTATGCATTGCAAACATATACTTTACAAACACATTGTCAGAATGTAACCCATTTATAGTAGGGAAGACTGCCTGTAGATATACCTGTTAAGCTTTCCAGTGGTTGTCAAGTGAATTTCAAATACAGAGCATATTAATCAGTATCTGTTTTTTTGCTAACCTGATTGTATCAAGAGTCCGGAAGAGATGAATATAACTAATGTCAAAAACATGAGTTGGGTGGCAGAGAAGGAGCAGATGACACACAGAAAAAAGCACCAGAAGACTTCGAGCATATCCCAGCTTTAGGCTTGACCATGCCATCAAGAAACCCTGTAATGGAGATATGCACAATGTTCAGTATATAGAATATTAAACTACAGTACTGTATGGTCATTATAAAGTATTGAACATAATGAGACTTTCCAGTGTGAGCTGGTAGCTTGATCAATCCTTTAGGTAACCTTCTGCCACTCCAAAGTCAGAGCATAAAGCTAGCTGGTGTCCCAGCTCTCGCTGTGTTGTCTGGGATCTAGTCATGGAAAATGAGAAGAGGGTAGCCCCCAATGATCTTAAGTCACATACAGATATTGACACCTGGTAGTGGTTGTGGATGATAGTGTATATAAATGAGCCTTTGCATCAAACATGCACTGACTTACTAGGAGTAAACTTGTGAATCTTGTATGGATAAAAATTATTCCACAAAATCTTGTTAATAATCCAGTATATTCAATGTACAATTTGTGCACTCATGCAAATTAAATTACAGGAATTACCAAAGGAACACTAACTGTTCTCTTAAAATAGTCCACACTAAAAGAAACTTGAGAGCTACCTTCTCCTGAAGCTGCTGGTGCATGACCTCCAAAGATGATATGAGAGTAGAAGTATCGTAAGCACCAGTTAAATGCAGGTAGATTGTTCTCCGACTCGGGTCATAATAACCTTCCACACCAGTCTGGGAGGTACGACAAAAGAGCTTAAAACAATTATATGCAGAAGGTCCTAACATATACTGTATTTCTTAAAGTTCTTCAAAATATAAAATCTGTACATTCCTTTCTCAACAACAAAATTTATTATATAAAAGTATTTTTATAATGCTATTTTATTTTAATTAATATTCATGGCAGCCATAACTATAAGGAACAGAACTTAAAAAGTAAACAAACCATAGTTTCAGAGTCAACAGCTAGAGGACGAGTCATACTCCTCTGGAATATTTTCCGCCCCACCATTAATTCAAGAGCTGTAGCTTTGCACCCGCCTGCATCCAGATTGCTTTTGCCAAAGATAGCCACCACCACAACCCGCTGCTTCCCTGTAAAATCTCTGAGCAAAGGAAAGATGTAAAGATAATTAAAATTTAAAAGAAATAATGACATACTGTACTATACAGTAGGTGGTTATCAGAAAAATGTGAATTCCTTCAGTTCATATACTGTATAGCAGGAATTGTATAAACATCTTATGAATTGAATCTTAAAAAACTTCTGGAAGAAATGTGAAGAAAAATAACATAAATAAGTCCAGTATACCCAGAGAGAGAATAATTCACAATACCGTATCTGAAAATTAGACACTGAACCCACAAATCCAAAAATAAAGGAATTGACAAAATACACCCCTAAATAATACTGTAAATAACATTAAAAAATCAGTATTTGTTAATGTTGTGAAAGTAAACACCTGGCAACACAATTGGGCTTCTCAAAACCCAAATGGACTACAAGTAGCAGAAAGTTTATTATTTATTTTGTATTTATTTATTTATTTATTCATTTATTTATATACAAGAGTTCTTACATTCTTGTACAGCCACTAGCACGCATAGCATTTCGGGCAAGTAATTAATCATAATTTTCACACACATACATCCCAGGAAGCAGCCCGTAGAAGCTGTCTAACTACCAGGTACCTATTTACTGCTAGGTGAATAGGAGCATCAGGGTGAAAGAAACTCTGCCCATTTTGGTCCATCCTGGATCATTTTCTAGTTATATAGTGCACAACTTGAGAGTAATAGTTTAGGATGGACTAAAACATCATTAATTCAATTGTTTTCACATTTGTTGGTTGGGTGTCATACCCAAAGACTTACTGAGGGGACCATGAAGTGGGAAGAGTGAAGTGACCGTGGCCCGATGTTCCATCCTCCTCCTCTTGCAGCTGCAAAAATGACACAAGTAAACAAAGACTTTGTTATGTCCAAGCTAATGATACTTTTGAAAACTTTACACATTTTCAAAATAATAAAATGATTGTAAAACATTTTATGTACTATTCATTAATTTTTCTTAAAATATTATAATAAAAATATATGCACTGTTGGGTAATTAAACATCAGATGCAGTTATATAATGTACTACAGTATATGCTACATATCTAATGATTTACAGGTCTGTAACTTCAAATTTAATATTACAGTATTATAATTACCTATTCGGACAATGTGCAGCCCATACTCTGGATTCATCTAAACTCTAAATAACGAACGTATACCTAACATAAGAGTTGAATAATGTATGCTGGGTTGGGCCTACAGATCTACAGGGTGCTGTGCCACTTGAATTGAGGCCAGTATGTCACTGCTCTCATTATATACATATAAAAATTATCACTACGGCTCAATCAATTCTGATTGCAGTATCCTGTATCCAAACAGAACAGCACCCTATGGCCCTGTATCCATGGCATATGGCCCTATGGGCCTGTATCTATGGCATATGGCCCTATGGGCCTGTGTCCATGGCATATGGCCCTATGGGCCTGTATCCATGGCATATGGCCCTATGGGCCTGTATCTATGGCATATGGCCCTATGGGCCTGTATCCATGGCATATGGCCCTATGGGCCTGTATCCATGGCATATGGGCCTGTATCTGTGGCATATGGTCCTATGGTCCCTATGTATCTACTCCGTGTGTTTGAAAAAAAGGATCATACAGAGAACGTGAAGGCTAAACTGAACCACCTTCTGGATGACCTGAATGTGCCAAGCTTTAGAGCACGGAACAGAAACAATGAGTTAATAAACAGATCATTCACCTGAGCAGTGTGACTAGAGCACAAACAATCTTTCAATTGATTGATTGTTGATCAACAGCTGCACTGCATCAACTGAACAAAGAATATTGTGCTACTTCAGTTGGACAAACCAGGCATCAATAACCAAGGTTTCCTTCAGAAGAGGGAAGACTTGTTCATAGTTGAAAACAATGAAGAAGTCCAAGGCCTAAAATAATGATCCAAAGGACCAAATGAACAGACACCATGCCTCCTAGGCAGAGCATGAAGCTCACCAACATGACCACCAAAAAGTAGAGTCAACCTTCTTCCTCTTCTTGATGAAATGTGCAGTTTACATGAAGGGTTTATCTTCCCGATGACTGCACGAGTACAAGTTTTGGGAGACACGTTAATGTTGAGAATGACAAGGTTTCGAAGGTTTTTATTGTGTTGCATGTACTATAGATAGAGGAGCGGCGACTGAACCGAGACGTGTGTTAGAGGGAGACTTGCCGCAATGTAGAGCACGATGTCTTTAAGGTGTCAGCTGATCCTTGGTGTTGCAGTGAGGCAGTTATTTTCTGTTTGGCTGCTGGTGATGCCAGTTATAAATGTGACAGGTCAAATGTAGCCCAATTTGTTGGTCAACTGGAGATATTTAGTCAGTGCTTTGACTCTTTGATATTTTTCATGTAATGAAAGGTCACCTTCTCCTAATATATGCTCGATGGTAAAAGGTATTTCAAGTGTGATAAGTATTTGTTTGAAGTTTACTCTGGCACAACAATGTCGGAAACAGTAAAAAAGATAGTGTTCGATTGCTTCTGGCAGATGACAGTGGATGCAGAGTTCGTTGGAGTTTTTTCCATATTTAGAGCGGTGTGCTGCCAGTTTGGTGTGTCCCAGCCTTAATCTGGTCATCGTTATATCAATTTCTCTGATTTTATATAGGACATGTTTCCAAGTTTCCCATTTCTTTTGTATGGACCCATAGTACAAAGATGAGCATGACGTTTTCCATTTCAATATAAAATCTTGGGTGATGGTATCTTTGATGCTCCACCAAAGCTAAGCTTGGACAGGGCAGGGTCTGATGTTAGGTAAGGTTTTAGGTTTGTTCAGGTCAGGTCTGGTCAGGTTATTAGGTGTGTTTAAAGAGCAGTGATGACATAGAATGACTTGTATATTGAATGTTATAATAAAGTTTGTACATTGAATGTTCAATATTGAATGTTATAACAAAGCAAGTTTTATATCACTTTGAATTTACGCATCAGTGTTAAACATACAGAAAAACAAAACTGTGCTATAAAACATACCATGTTTAGTGTAGGCTTTTGAGATAACGACACCATCTACTGCATCACGGGAGGGAATATTGAACACGAGTCTTGGCACATCATTTCTTTTGGCACTCGTTGACACATTACTTATAATACGGAGACAATGACAAGGTCTCAAGTGTTAGTGGTGTTGTGCTGGAGATAGAGGAGAGGCCACTAAACACAGGCCTGTGTTATAGGGAGACTTCTTGCTAGTAGGTGCAGGTTGTGGAGGGAGACTTCTTGATAGTAGGAGCAGGTTGTGGAGGGAGACTTCTTGATAGTAGGAGCAGGTTGTGGAGGGAGACTTCTTGATAGTAGGAGCAGGTTGTGGAGGGAGACTTCTTGATAGTAGGAGCAGGTTGTGGAGGGAGACTTCTTGATAGTAGGAGCAGGTTGAGGAGGGAGACTTGCGGCACTGTAGGGCGAGATGTTGTTTACAGCGTCAGCTGATCCTGGGGTGTGCGGGGAGGCTGTTGTTTACTGTGTTTGGCTGCTGGTGGCGCCAGGTATGAATGTCACAGGTCAAATGTGGCCCGAGTTCGATGGTCGACTGGAGGATTGTTACTTGCTTACCTAAACTAACTATGAGTTCAGTTCCTGAACCGATTATGTGCCTCTGTAACCCTTTCCACCACCGCTCACGAGATGGGTATGGGGAGCATAATAAAGAACGAAATTGAACTGAATTGACTGGAGATATTTAGCCAGTGATTTCCTCTGGCACTATTATGTCGGAAACAGTGAAAGAGATCACGTTACGCGCTAATTGGTTCCACATATCAACTACTCTGTTACCGAACCAGTATTTACCCAGGTCTTTCCTAAATCTAGTGGCTGTACAAGAATGTAGGAACTCTTATATATATATATATATATATATATATATATATATATATATATATATATATATATATATATATATATATATATATATATATATATATATATATATATATATATATATATATATATATATATATATATATATATATATATATATATATATATATATATATATATATATATATATATATATATATATATATATATATATATATATATATATATATATATATATATATATATATATATATATATATATATATATCGTACCTAGTAGCCAGAACTCACTTCTCAGCCTACTATTCAAGGCCCGATTTGCCTAATAAGCCAAGTTTTCCTGAATTAATATATTTACTATAATTTTTTTCTTATGAAATGATAAAGCTACCCTTTTCTCTATGTATGAGGTCAATTTTTTTTTATTGGAGTTAAAATTAACGTAGATATATGACCGAACCTAACCAACCCTACCTAACCTAACCTAACCTATATTTATAGGTAAGGTTAGGTTAGGTAGCCAAAAAAAGCTAGGTTAGGTTAGGTTAGGTAGGTTAGGTAGACGAAAAAACATTAATTCATGAAAACTTGGCTTATTAGGCAAATCGGGCCTTGAATAGTAGGCTGAGAAGTGCGTTCTGGCTATTAGGTACGACATATATATATATATATATATATATATATATATATATATATATATATATATATATATATATATATATATATATATAATAAATATTAGACCGAATAATATGAGATACTGTATAGTATTAGCTTATAAGATCGCTAGACAGTATATAAGATCACTATGAAGGCAGGTTGGGAATGCCATTAACATACATCTAGGTTTTGTGCTGAATTCTATATATAGTCAGTCATATAGAAGCAGGGAACAGAGATAATTTAGTTATAAACGTAGAGGTATATAATGTAATAATAATGTAAACCCTAATGTACCTAGTAATACTTGTCATTATAGTGTATTGTTATTATTATGTATTAATCTAATCTTTGTTTATTGTGTCAAAATTTCTTACAATGTATCTGTAAATATTTTTTGTCAATTTTACTGGAAATTATCTATTTAGAAGTATCTGTTAGATTAAGGACTTGCCCGATACGCTATGAGTGCTAGTGGCTTTACAAGAATGTATAATCATCATTACTATTTACTCTCTTAACCACCATTGTACCTACGTTTATTTATTTATATTGGTATATAAATAAATAAATAAATAAATAACTATATGGTAAGAGTAGAGGGTAAGGAGGGGGGTGGGGGGGGTCACACACACCAGCGCGGGAAAACAGTCTCGGGGTTCCTCTCCCGCCGCCACCAATCGTACGTCATTTATAACATTTTCACGACGTATATGTCGGTTTGTATTTGTTATTTTCACGCAATATTGTTACGAAAGGTGTATTTGTAGTGTGAAGAGAGATTTTAGAGTGTGTGAGCTCCTACAACCGAGGCAGTATAATGTTTGGCGAGGAAGGTGGACTTGTTGGTGGCGCCGAGCTGCTGTTACTGTGTAACATTATTACTGTATTATTATTATTACTGTACAAGTTATTAGGTAACACCACTACGGCTACTCCGCCACACATTCAAACACTATTATTATACAAATTAAAAGATGTGTAGCTCTTGCTAAATAAGATTAAAAGTACAGTATAGTCAATGATAGATTCCAGCAGGTAGATCTTGGGGCCCAATTGGTCTCTTGTGATGAACTTGGTAAGTTAATTTGTTATTTGTGAAACACGTACAGTACTTGCGGATTTGATTTTTGAGAGTACTGCGAATTTTGCCCCCCCCCCAAAAAAAAGTTTTTTTTGGAGGTGAAATGGTGCAAGTAGAGTACACTATAGTGGAGACTCCGGCTTAGCCTTAGGCTGGAGAATACCTTTAATGATGTGTGGTCAGCTCATCACAGTTATGTTGTTAACTTGCCACAGGTTTATTATATAATCATTATGCATGTGTAAAACATGGTCAAAATATGTACTGTAGTGAATATTTAATGTTTAATGATGCCTAACATGATTGTTAGACTAGATTGAGGGCTTTTACCTGAGCTTACATGAGGGCCACTAATTGTAGTGGCCTTTATGAGAACAAAAAGCCGGTGGCTTGTCAAACGTCCCCCGTTGGTCCTGATTTTATCAAGTTGGATTTTAAAATTCAGCAGTTTTACCATTTTCGGCTTTGGCGGGTAGGCAATTCCATGACTTTTTCACCCTGTGGGTGGAAAAAGCATTCCTGTTTTCTGTCCTACATTGTGGTTGTTGAGCTTGAAACTATTTCTCGTTCATGATTCTTCTGATCTTTTGAAGAAGTGGTCTGGCTCAATATCCTCCAAACTGTTCCGTATTTTATGTTGCAATGATATAAGCCTCATCTCTGGTTTGCAGTGTTGTTAGTCCTGTGGTTCTCGACTGTTCTTCGTATGAGTTGACTTTGTTCAGGAAGGATTTTTGTTGCCCGGTGTTGAACTTTCTCCAAAATAGCTATGTCTTCTTCTGATAGTCTCCATGCTAGGATACAGTAATCCAAGTGAGGCTGCGTCATCAGAGATGAACCCTCTGCATGTTAATGCTGTTAGTTTGGTAGTTGTAACATATTGTTATGCCCCATATTCAAGGTCTTGTATTTTTCAATATTTACAAGCATTTGCAAAAGTCTTCTGACTGTTTGTGGAGGTATGTAGATCTCTTTGTAAGGCTTCCATATAATTTTCACTTCCCACTTTATCATAAATTTTAGTGTTACTGTACCTGAAAATTTGATGTGGTTTGTAATGCAGTATTCTCATCTACTGTATGTCGTTGCTGTATATGTTAAAAAGGGTTGGCCCTAAAATGACCCTTTGCAGTACCCCCACTCACCAAATTTCTCCAGTTAGCTTCCGTTCTATATAGTACAATCCTTTGCTATCTTTGTTTTATCCATTCTAGTATTCTACCATTTATTCCATGTGCTTGTAGTTTCCCTGTTAGTCTTTCAAGTGGTACTTTATCAAAAAGATTTAGCTTTTATTATGACTATTGATGCAGGTCATAGTAAAAGTATGATGCAGACTCATGAGGTGCTTTGTTCAAATTCAAATTCAAATGTTTATTTAGGTAAAAGTACATACAGTACATAGATGAGTTACAAACATAATGTTGGATTTATAGATAGAGCTAGTACACACAATCCCTAAAGCCACTAATACGCTCGGTGTTTCGGGCATGCAAATAATTGTTATTTGGATATGGAACCATGAGCACTGCACTCTTATGTGTAACACTTGACCAGGACAATGTTTCTAATTACAAATTGTAGTGTAGTTACAGGATGAGAGCTTTGATACAGGTATCAGCATTAAACTGCATCTGCAAATCTTTTGACCATTTCAAAACCCTATTTAGATCGACTTGAAGTGATAGTCTTTTTCTGTGTTTTTTTCCATACCGAATTTTGTATCATCGGCAAATTTGCAAATGTTACTACTCAAATCTGAATCTAAATCATTTATATATATATTATAAACAACAGAGGTCTCAGGACAGAGCCTTGAGGCACTCCACTTAATCATTTTCCCACTTTGACTTAACACCATTTATAATTGTTTCCTTGGAATAGCCATGCCCTAATCCAACTTAATATAGCACCCCCAATACCATGAGCCTCTATCTTTTTAATCAGTCTTTTATGTGGCACTGTATCAAAAGCTTTGCTAAAGTCAAGGGACACAACATCACAATCCTTACCACTATCATCTGCCTCAACTATGCTGGAATAAATTGATTGCTGGATTGAAAAGTTGCTGGTTTCAGGAATTCCTCACTGTCAATTTGGTTGATTCCCATTAGTATTTTGTAAGCGGTGATTATATTACCGCTTTTTCTTTTATCTTTTAGTTTTGGCATGTTTAATGCCTCTAGTCTCCTTGTAACTCTTGTTTTTCAGTTCCAGAAGTCATTTTGTAGCATGCCATTGCACATTTTCTAGTATATTTATGTACATCTTGAGATTTGGGCACCATACAACTGCTGAATATTCCAATTTTGATCTCGGAAATGTCACGAACAGTTTCTTTAGTATTTCACTATAGATATACAATAATTAAAAGCAAGTCTGAAGGTGAAAAGCGACGCATAAGTTCCTATCACAATGTTCTTTGTGTGTTCTGGCGACAGCTTACTATCCAAAATCACCCTTAGGTCTTGCTCTTTATTAGAGTTCTGTAATTCCTTTTCAGTTTCAATATTCAGCAAATAGAGGTTTCATCTGATTTCTTTCAGGAAACACACTCAAAATGCAGGCAGAGAACTGTAACTTGCCTAGTGATCCTGCAGCACCAGACTTCAGTGAAGAGGCTGAGAATGCAGTCTCTCGTGTATATTCCCCCAAGCGTGAAGGTAAGGGTTCAAGATACTGTACCACTACTGTACTATTTAACAATACTGGTAGTTATATTTTGTATTGTTTTGGTGTACAATATATTTTAAAGTGTATTTTGGTGTTTGCAATGTAATTTAATTTTCTTAAAAGCCCATTCCCGACTGTAAATGTTATGGGCATCCCAGGATTCAGCAAAGTGACACCTAAAATGTTAAATATTATTATTTTTTCTGTGGAGAGCCCCTACGGCTCCCTGGAGCTATTGGGCTAACTGACTGCCCATTCTTTTCTTTGGGGGGCATGGCATGGGTTCTGTTGGAACTGCACGCTTGATTGGCGAGAAACTTCTACCATACTGCAGGTTTACCTGGGAGGCAAGTTTGCGCACTTTAATGCGTGCTTGTTCGCCTCCGTGCTTCCTCGGAATGTTGGCCTTGTACAGCTGCACGTGCAGCTTACTTCCCTTTGGTGTCTTTGGTTGCATAGGATTTGTGTGCCATGGGCATTTGGCTTCGGTCTTGAGCTTCTTTTTCCTCCTCGAGTACAAAAATTATCTGTACAAAACTAGATAATTTAGTTACTCAAAATACACTTCATTCTAGAGTATAGTACAGTATGTATATTCATAAATCCATTTATCCATTTTTTTGTTTATTTGCTTACAGGAAGTCAAAAAACATGTGTATTTGATGAGGACATGGTAACCACTGAAATGCTGGCTGAAGAGGAGAAATTGGAAGCAGCTAATGTAAAAGAAGAAGAAAGGATACGTTTGCAATTAGAAGAACGAAAACGTGAAGAGAAACAGTTGCAAGAACAGAGGTGAGATAAGTTCAGATTCTTGAACAATGGCTTACTGTATATTAATTATATGTTAATATTGGATAATGTATTAAATTGTACCTTTGGTGTTATGTAATGATTTGAGAACTGAAAAAGGTGAATAGCTGTTGTGCTCATGCAATAAGCAAACATAATTCACTTACACTCATTTATAATACCAAAGAAAAATTAACTCTATAAAAGTATTTTTTAATTACCATTTTTGTATAAGAAGACATCACCATAATTGTAAGCTGCAGGATTAGTTTTGAATATAAACTACCAGTACTGTTTCTGTGGGGAGCCCCTATGGCTCCCTGGAGCTACCGGGCTAATGTGTGATATATTAGACCAAGGCATTGGCTATGGAGTTCGACCATGAGGTCTGGTCTGCCAGGGACCATGAGCCAGAATCTGGCCTCTTCAGAGAGGCTGCAGGAATACAATGGCCCTGGAAAACCCCCCCTGTGGTTGGGAGTTTTCCTTATCTGCCATCTACATCTTATCTACACTAAGGAAACAAACATAGGAATATGCCTCAATGCCAATAGTGACTGCCCAGACAGGTACAAGGGGAGTGTTGTCAACGCTTACGTCGACCGTGCTCTCGGCCACAGCTCAGGATGGAAGCAAGTTGATGAAGAACTCTGTAGGGTAAGGCAGGTCCTAGTCAACAACGATTTCTCTAATGGTTTTGTTGAAGCCATCATAAAAAGAAAGGTGAAATTCCATGCAACATCTGAAGAGTGAACTAACACAACACATGTACCCCCTATTAGACTATTTTACAGGAACTTCTTTTCGACGGCTCATAAAACGTAGGAAAGAGTCCTGAAAGAGATTGTTGATAGGAACGTTATCCCTACAGACAAAAATCAGAAAATACAATTGACGATTTACTACAAAACCAAAAAAACGGCCAACCTACTCACGAAGAAAGTTATATAAAGTTAGCTAGTAATTATTTGAAATTTTCATCAGTTTTGTTTTTCGATATTTACAGGTATAAGCGGTTGATGCATCTTTTGAATAAATCTGAATTCTACAGTAAATTTCTCTTGCAACAAATTAAATCTCAAGAAGCCATAAAGAAGAGTAAGAAGAATTCAAAGTAAGTAGCATAATGGAGAAAATTTTGAGAGCAGGTTTGAAACTTAAACAATATATACTATTACTAAGTGAGGTGTATTAGGATTACTTGTCGTGTTGGAATTGTTCTTAAACAAAAAAAATGTTTGCATAAGTAAAGGAGTTGTGTATAGATGAACCTTTTAACAAGATAACAACAAAATGTACAAGATGACAGGGTTTGGCTTAGGCAAAGAAAATGCAATAATCTCATATTAGAAACTATGCTATTCCCATCTTATTGTCCATTCTTATTAGTGCACTACAGTTTCAAGTTTACAGTGAATCATTTTTTCATATTTAAATACTTAGTGATATTTTGAAATATATAAGCTGGTTTAGAATTTCTATATAGCCTTCATGAATGTATATATATTGTTTTGATTTAGGAAACATAGGTGAAGCATATACAGTAGTTGAATTACCAGATAATGAAGCTGATTGTCATAGGGGCTAATGTGTATCAGTTTGACTTATTTAACCTTATTTTCCTTTCATATTGTTCTGTCTTGTTCAGTCTGCAACAATAATTTTTATCTCTTAGAATAAATTTGTTTACATTTGATTTTTTTTTTTTATTGAGTATGGTCTCTTCCAAATTAAATGGCTTTTTCTGCCTCATGATGCCATCACATATCCCAATGTTGGTCAGTTTGTTTTATACATACTGTATTTGTTTTTCAGATGTAAAGGACATCCGGACATTCGTATTACTGACAAAGAAAACCTCGAATCTGAAGGTAGGATAAGAAAGATTAAAAAGTTACTTGTAGTTATGCAGACGAGGAGTCACAATAACGTGGCTGAAATATGTTGACCAAACCCCACACTAGAAAGTGAAGGGATGACGACGTTTCGGTCCGTCCTGGACCATTCTCAAGCCGATTGTGACTTGAGAATAGTCCAGGACGGACCCAAACATGGTCATCCCTTCACTTTCTAGTGTGTGGTTTGGTCAACTTACTTATAGCTACACTATTTTTGAATGCGTGCAATCTCATTTTATTCATTAAATGTATGTTAGCTCAACCATTTGAAACATACTTAAAATAAATTTCTCATACAGGAAACAGTTCTCAAGAATCATCAAAGGGAAGTAATAGGAAACGTAAGCTTAATGGTGAATCAATTGGCAAGCAAGGGAAGCGGCTCAGGAATAGCAAGTACAACATTGGCGATGTTATTGACACTGATGTAAGTCATTTTGTAAATTTTGATTTAAAATTTCAGCCTGTTAAACTCTTACCATATACAGTATCTTTTTATTGTATACATTTTGGTTATATTTTCTGATGATTTGGTCAGTTAGACAATTTTTGCAATCACAAACAAGATTGTCATTTATTCCAAGTAATATCTTCCAAAGTGAAATATGCCAGTTTAGGAGCCTGGCTGCTTTCCTAAATTTTTTCGCTCTAAACGTTTTTAATAGTTATTATTATTTTGCTTCATTATTATTATTATGATTATGATTGTTTCTAATTTTTTTACTTGCTTGTAAATGCTCTTTATGCATGAGTAGTGTTATATACTATGTAAAATGTCATCCTTGTCGACATTTGGTTATAATTTTAGAAAATACACTATTTTAAATTTGTGTTGATTAAATTGGCTAGTATGTGGGGGTTCTGCTACCCAGTATTATGTAGTGTTGCAAGTATGTGATGGCCCCACTATCCAGTACTATGTACAGTGTTGCATGTAACAGTATTTCCTACAATAAAAGGGCGATGAGAGCTGGTCGGAACCCAGCAACCTAAATTACTTCCCACAAAATATTGGAACAGCCTTAGGTTTAGGACCATTCTTCTCTCACAATGCTTGAGAGAAAAATTAATGATTGTATGCCAGAAGATATATTTATGGCTGAAATATGCTTATCAGTGCATAAACTGAATTGTAGTAATGCTTCAGAAACTCCATCTCTGTAAACAGTTCTGTTTGTTTTTAATGTGCTCACCATGTTTGCTGGCTTGTCAAGAAAATGGAATATTATTTGTTATTCTCAGACTGTAAAAGCAAAGATGGAATCAGGTTCCTTCACCGAGGAAGAGGAGAGTATTGGACGTGAAGATCAGCCTCGCCTGTTTGAAAATGGCACCATGAGACCCTATCAGTTGGATGGCTTTTCATGGCTCACGGTAAGAATATTATATTATTTTCTCTAGTGAAAGGCATTAATTTGTAATTATTATATCAGTTTGTTGCCATATTTGTGATTATTATACTGTGATATTCAGCTGTTTGTACTTCAAAAGGGGATTATTTTGATGTTGGTTAATACCATCTTTAAAATAACAGGTTCTGTTTGAAAATGGTGTCAATGGAATTCTTGGAGATGAGATGGGTTTGGGTAAGACTATCCAGTGCATTGCACTTATCTGCCATCTAGTAGAGCAAGGTGTGCCAGGTCCTTTCCTTATTTGTGGTCCATTGTCTACACTTCCTAATTGGATGTTGGAGTTCGAGAGATTTGCCCCCAAGGTAAATAATATCATTCTTAAGTGTTGAAAATTTATAGTGTGTTGAAAAATATTTTAAGCAAGCATTAAAATTGAAGGTGACTAATTAAAATGTCATCAGATAATTATCTCCTATATTGATATCTTATGTGAGTGTGTTTGTTTTTTGTGCCTAATAGGGCAAGTTGCCTAAAGCCAAATTTTCCTGAAATGTTATATTTTTCTATTTTTTTCTTATAGAATGATCAAGCTTTCCATTACATTACTCATGATATGAATTTATTTAATTTGATCAATAGAATTTATTTATTTATCAAAATTTTATGTAACCTAACTTAACTAGGTAAGTAATTCACGTTCTTAATCTCTCAAGTGGTTGGCTTGGGTGGTTATAAATAGGAGCTGCCTCGTATGGGCCAATAGACCTTCTGCAGTTACCTTTATTCTTATGTTCTTGTGTTCTTATGATCTTCTAAAGTTAATTATACCTTGATGTAAAGTTAGTAGATAATTGGCTTACAAATGGTTCAACCCATATAAGTCAAATACTGCACAACAGAACAATTATGGAAGTATGTACTATTAGAGAAGCATGAGAGTTATAGGAAGAATTTTTGTTGGTTAAGCAGGTTCTAGTAACATGCTAAATCTTTTGGTAAAATGCATATTGTACTTTATTTTTTACTGATTTTATTGTAGTTATTGGGGTTTTTCCTTGTTTTTTAATAGATACCAACATTGCTGTACCATGGTCAAGATATTGTGCGCATACAGAAGAGAAGAAAAATTCAAGCTCGGGTGCCAGTGGAGGGTGCCCCGGTTCCCGTTTTCCCTGTTGTTATCACATCCTATGAGGTAATGATAGTCATCACATTATTAAGTAATTATGACATAACATCCTATGAGGTGGTGTTACCATCACATCCTTGCATACAAAATACTAGATATTGACAATGAGTCACAATAACATGGCTGAAGATAAGTTGACTAAACTATACAGAAAATGGAGAAATGATGACATTTTGGTTCGTCCTGGACCATTATCAAGTTATGTGATACGTGATAATGGCTTCATAACTTGATAATGGTTCAGGACAAACGGAAATATCATCATTTCTCCGTTTTCTGATGTGAGGTTTGGCCATCGTAAAAAATTCTAATTCCCACAATTTGAGTTTGGAGTGACAAAGTGCAATTTGCACTCTGTAGCTCCACACAAAATCAATAACAACCTAAATTGTAAGCCAAGCTTTTTCATAGTTTATTCTACAACATCATAAGATTATGGAAAAATTTAATAGATTCCTAGTTGGCATACCTTGGGTGTAGCACTATGATAATGGCAAATTTACATTCGTTGGCTGGTACACTCACTCTCCTTCCCAAAGTATTTAAAAATTTCTATTTTATTCTTAACAAATTATACAAAAAATTAGATTATGGAAAATTATAAAAATGTTTTGTTGCTTTGGGTCTGGCAAGATGAGAAAAGATGAATTTTAGTGTAATGTCTTTTCTGTGATTCATTCCTCTCTATTACATTACCACAGATGTATTATTGTCACTTCTCGGTATCATTCACAATTTCCACAAGTTCATTCTGAAATGTTCTGTTGTCATTGCAAATAAATAATCATCCCAGTGTCATATCAAGAAGTCGAAGATGTGACTTCTGTGAGAGACGAGATGAATTCCTCATAATGGTTCTGTGAGCATTGAGAGAATTACTAATGTTTCATATAATAATAATAATAATAATATAGCCACTGTCCCCAGAACTCTCTCTTGGTCAGTGGTAGCAGCCATACATCAGCTAGCTTGCTTGCTTCTCCAGTAACACCGATATTAATCCTTGGGCTGCACCCCTGTTTATATGAGACAATGCCCTAGTGAATGGGAACAATTTTTCCTTCTAATATTGTTAGAATATGTTCCCTGGTCACAGGAAAAGAAATTGACTTACTTTGGAGGTAGTGAAGCAAAGAAATCTTACAATTCATGAGCGTTTGTGGAGCAATTGCTCCATGGAAGTCGCCTAGGCCAAGCATGGGGCAGGAGTTGGTGCAAAAATATTTGAGCATATTTATTTCTGTCTCAGATTATTTACTATTTCTGTTGCAGGAGTCCCTTGTGGCTTTATGAAGTGTCCATCTTTTATGTAGGTGCCATCAGTTGTGGAATTCTCTGGCCTACCAGGGACCCAGAGCCAGAATCTGGTCCCCCTCACAGACTCACAAGTAGCCATGGCATTTATATATTAAGTTATTCATTTATGCCACCACCAAAGAAACCTATGAGCCTGCCACCACCTCCCCCCAAATGAGGGGGAAGGTGAGGCGAACAGGTGGGCACTAGTTTTATAACAGTTTTGATCGTTTGCTTACATAGTTTGGGGAGTTTTATGGCTGTCTTCAGTCTGCAGGTCATGGAGGCAGCCAAATGTGGTTTGTTCTGTCTTGCTGACTTTCTGGGTGCCTTCCTCGGTAGTGGTATCAATGAATAACTTACTATATAAATGCCATAGTTTCCTGTGCCTCTGTGAGGGGGGACCAAGTTTTGACACTGGGTCTCTGATAGGCCAGAGTATGGAGTAAGAAAATAGCCTTCAGCAATTTTCTGTTCATTTTCATTGTTCTTTGGTTTTAGAGTGGGTTGTTTTGTCATTTCTTTCTTGGCTTTTTCTTGATCGTCATCTTATGCCAAATTCTGTTAGCTTTTATTGTACATCATTGGCGGTGCTGCTACAGCTTGCAATCGGGGTCGATACCTTTTCGGCCCTGTTTCACAAGCTTTCTCATGCATTGTTTCACCTCCGGCCCACTCATGTGCCCCTGAGCCTGCCTGGTTAGGCGGCACATGAGTATAATGTGCCTCTTAGTAATTAGTATAATGTGCCTTATTCCTTTTCAATTAATAATTCTTAGTTGTAATTATGTGTATTATATCTTAGACTAGAGCATATGCTAGTCATAGTGCACACCAAATTATTAAAAAAATTATTGCTATACTGTACTCGGTATTTATTTAATTAATCATAGGTTGCTATCCGTGACACAAGATACTTGAACAAATTCCAGTGGCGCTACATTTGTGTAGATGAAGGCCATAGGCTCAAGAACCATAAATGTCGTCTCACAAAGTAAGTGAAGTTTCGGAACTTTTTATCATTGTTCTCTTAATTTTTCACTCTACTTCATTCATAATAATTCATGTACACATTGGTATGCCCATCCACTCATATTCACTTACACATTGTAGAGTACTAAAACATACATGCATAAATGCACATACATAAAATATTTTAAATGAGGTCATATTCCCAAGGGGCTACTCAGTTTGGAGACGTGACAGGAAAACTAGGAAGGGGGGGGAGGAGTGGTTGTGCTGGTGAAGGCACACCGGAAGGTAAGAGAGTTAATACCTGACAACCCTCGAGATGTTGACATAATGGCATTGCAGGTCTGGAAATCAGGATGATAAGTTGATAATTTTAAATGCCTACAGCCCACCAGCAAGCAACACATGGACAAAGGAGGAACTGGATGACAAACAAGAGGCCTCATAATGCTCATGAGAGAGATTATGGTAAGAGCAGACAGAGATAAATCCTAATTGTTGGTACCGGGGGACTTCAACTATAGGCAATAGACTGGGAGGTCTACGAGGCAAGAACGGAGGACATTTGGACAGGTAGATTTGTAAACCTCATTTTGGAGACATTCGTGTATCAACACGTCAGGCAGGCCACAAAAATGAAGGAAGGGGATGTTCCATCAGTACTGGATCTAATATTCACCAGGAAAGAAGATGAGGTATTTGACATCCAGTACCTTCCTCCCTTGGGAAAGAATGATCATGTCCTCTTGGACATTAAATATGTTTTGTGATATAATCTAGTAGAGAATGGAGACATTGAAACAGTTGTTAAACTCGATTTCGAGAGAGTACGCTATGGGGAACGTAGACAATTTTTCATGTGTATAATTGGACTGACTTGTTAATAGGCAAGGAAGTAAATGAGATGTATGCCAAATTTTGCAAAATATTCGATGGAGGCACACAAAGTCATACCAAAACAGAGATGCAGACATAGGAAACAGGGTTGGTTCAACAGAAATTGCAAGAGGGCTAGAGATCAAAAGACACAAGCATGGAATCATAGGAAGAGGTCAAACCCCAAACATACCAGCGATACAAAGATGCGAGAAACAACTACACGACAGTAAGGAGAGAGGCAGAGAGGAACTTTGAAAACTGTTTAGCAGACAAATAAAATTCAGATTTAGGCCTTTTCTATAAATTCATTAAAAGCAAGCTGCAGATAAAGGATAATATTCAGAGGTTGAAAATGGGAGACAGATATATGGAAAATGAAATGTGTGAAACATTAAACAAGAAGTTCCAAAGTGTGTTTGTACAAAATGAGATCTTCGGGGAACCAGACACAATAAGAATTCCAGAGAACAACATAGAGGTGTCTGGAGATGAAGTGAAACAATTGCTCTTGGAGCTAAGAACAAAACAGTTGGCCCAGATGGAGTTTTACCATGGGTTTTGAGAGAATGTGCACCTGAGCTCAGCATTTCACTTCAGCTGATTTTTCAGACATCCCTGTGTACAGGAGTCATAGCAGACGTGTGGAAACAGGCTAACATGGTTCCAATCTACAAAAGTGGAAGCAGGGAAGACCCCCTTCAATTATAGACCTGTATCATTGACAAGTGTAATAGTCAAAATATTGGAAAAAATAATTAAAAATAAATGGGTAGAACACCAGGAGAAAAACTATAATATCAGGCAGACAGTATGGTTTTTTATCTGGAAGATCCTGTGTATCGAATTTACTCAGTTTCTATGATCGAGCCACAGAGATTTTACAGGAAAGATATAGCTGAAATTGAAACAAGTTTATTGAGGTAAAATACACACAAAGGGATGAGGTAGCTCAAGCTATTCTCGCCCTGTTCAGTACAGCGTCTTCATACATATACAGTATAGACACATCACAAACAATAAACATATTACCGAACATTCTGAGTGATAAACATACACATTTCTTCCCTTACACATGTAGTTTGTTACCAGACATACACACAAATACTTTTATGACTAGGTATATAGACAATTTGCAATAGACATTCAGACAATTCAACAAAAGGTTATGATCTTGGTGCAAAATTCTTCTCTCTCTCCATAGAGATGGTTGACTGCATCTATCTGGACCTAAAAAAGGCTTTTGACAAAGATCCACATAAGAGGTTCTGGAAACTGGAACATATTGGAGGGGTGACAGGTAAGCTTCTAACATGGATGAAAAATTTTCTGATACAAAAATGGGGGCAGTAATCAGAGGCAATGTATCGGACTGGAAAAATGTCACACGTGGAGTACCACAGGGTTCAGTTCTTGCACCGATGATGTTCATTGTCTACATAAATTATCTGCCAGATGGAATACAGAATAATATGAACATGTTTGCTGGTGATGCTAAGATAATAGGAAGGATAAGAAACTTAGATGATTGTCATGTCCTTCAAGAAGACCTGGACAAAATAAGTATATGAAGCACCACTTGTCAAATGAAATTTAATGTGAATAAATGCCATGTTATGGAATGTGGAATAGGAGAACATAAACCCCACACAACCTATAAATTATGTGAAAAGTCTTTAAAGACTTCTGATAAAGAAAAGAGATCTAGGGGTGGTTCTAGATAGAAAACTATCACCTGAAGACCACATAAAAACGTTGTGCGAGGAGCCTATGCTAAGCTTTCTAACTTCAGATGGCAAAATACTAAAGAAATTGTTCACGACTTTTATTAGGCCAAAGCTAGAATATGCAGCGGTTGTATGGTGCCCATATCTAAAGAAGCACATCAACAAACTGGAAAAGGTGCAAAGACATCCCACTAAGTGGCTCCCAGAACTGAAAGGCAAGAGCTACGAGAAGAGGTTAAAGGCATTAAATATGCCAAAACTAGAAGATAGAAGAAAAGGAGGTGATATGATCACTACACTCACAAGATAGTAACAGGAATTGATAAAATTGATAGGAAAGACTTCCTGAGACCTGGAACTTCAAGAATAAGAAGTCATAGACTTAAACTAACTAAACAAAACAGTCGAGAAATATAAGAAAATTCACTTTTTCAAAGAGAGTGGTAGACGCTTGGAACAAGTTAGGTGAGCAGTTGGTAGAGGCCAAAACTGTCAGTACTTTCAAAGCGTTATACAACAAAGAGTTCTGGGAAGACGGGACACCACGAGCGTAGCTCTTGTCCTGTAACTACACTTGGGTAACTACACACAACTAAACAGTGATTCAAGAACTGTAAGCTCATGTATTGATCTCAGGGTAATTGAGCCACCTATGGTCTGTGCAGTTTGGTGATAAATTTTTATTAATGGGCTCTGGGTTCCAAATTTTCTACTCATTATTTTATACCAATCTCTGCTCCAATTTAATCAAAGGGCTGTTGAATAATTAAGGTAACTTTATAGAAGTTTGTAATGAGTTAGTGAAAAAATTTAAATATTTGATTATTGTTAAAGATCTCATGTATTTCAGCAAAGTAAATTAATTTATAATATATATATATATATATATATATATATATATATATATATATATATATATATATATATATAATAATAAGCAAGCTTGGTACTTATTTTGACATTGCCATCAGGTCGCTAAACACTTTTCCTACAACAAATCGTCTGCTGCTGACCGGAACACCACTACAGAATAATCTTGCTGAGCTTTGGGCTCTTCTGAACTTTTTAATGCCAGAGATTTTTGACTCTCTAGATGTTTTTGAGTCTTGGTTTGATGTGACAGACATGATGGAGAAAGGAAGTAATGAGAAGATCATTCAGCAGGAGAAAGAAAAACATGTTATTTCAACTCTTATGAAGGTGAGAATATAATTTGGTATAAATATTTAAATTTTTTAAATGTGTTTATTGTCTATAACCTTCAACTCTCAAGTTACAAAATATTTCTTGTATAATGTTGTTGAAAATCATGCAGTATAGATATTTAGGAGGGATCTCAAATATCTGTACTGTACGAAGTTACGAACACAAGCAAGGCTCATGGTGTAGACTCCCTATTCTCAATATTAGACACGCCTGTTCTCAAGTAAATCGCGTATTTTATCAATTAGTCGAGATATAGAAAGTCTACGGAAAAAACCCACCAGTTTACTGGATGACAATTAACAGTAACATAAGTAGTTACATATGTACTGTTACATGAAGCTTAGTAATCAGTGACACTTCAAACCCCAGCTAGTTGCTCCTAAGTTAAATGGGTCAAGCTTAAGATACACGAAACTCAACCTTGGTACACTAGGTTTAGACTAGATACAGTAAATTTAAATGGTATTAATTAATTGAACTTTCAGTTGGTAGTATTATTAAGCCACCTTAGAATATAGAATAAGCTAAAAATTAATTAATATGTATTTCAGATGTAGCCTGGTTGATGGCAACATCATGCAGCTACAATTTATATGAATATCATTATCAAGAATGTTTTATTGTTTAGCTATCAAAATAAAATTGATTTTGATACAAAACACACCAGATGATTGTTCTGGTGATAATCAGAGGAATGGCTATATAATTTATTCTAATAAAATTAGGGTGACAAAAAGTAAATTATTATATTTCCCTGGAAATTTGCAAACCCCTGAAGAATGAGATGTCACATGATTGCATGAACCAGTGCTTATGGACTTATTAAATATTTTCAGTTATTAGCTGATATTTAATTAATTGAAACGTTTAGTGCAACATTTGGAATAAATTTTCCACAACCATAGGTTGATTTATATTTTTTATTGACAGATTTTAAGTCCATTCCTCTTGCGGCGAGTAAAAAAGGATGTGGATATTGACATTCCGCCTAAGAAGGAATTGTTGGTTTACACACCTATGACTCCTCTGCAGGTGAAGCTGTATGAGGCAACCCTCACTTCAAACAACGAACTGTTCAATAACTTGAAGGTACGTGAAAATTACTGATATAATTGTCCAGGTTGTATCTGTCAAGTCTTTAGTGCCGTAATATCCACCAGACAAGGGTTAAGTAAACACAAGTCTCCGATCCACACATATATATTCTACAACTGTACAAACCCAAGGAGGGTGTGAGAGAGCATCTGGTCTCGTGGATCTCTGCTTGTTGATCTCCCAGTGGTTGGTTGCTTCTCCTCTGCTCCTCTGCCGTTTTTCCCTCAACTCCGCTGTGTTGTAGGGAATACTGAAGTCACTCCAAGTCATATGACAAGCCTGAGATGGAAATACTGTAAATACTTTAGCAAGAGCCATACACACATGATTTAGCAGATATCTTGAACCACTACAAATTTTGCTCTATGAACCCCATTTACTGTATATCCATTCATTCATTATGTTTACTTTTCCACTTTCATGGAGTGGGGAGGCACTAATCGAGAGAAAAGGGAAAATGTAATATGGTGAAAGTAAAAGGTACAGTATTAAAAAAGTGCAAGAGATTATTCTTACCTATTTTGAAAATAGGTTCCCATTCCAGTCACCCTTCCCAATAACACAGGAACGTGATGCCGATTCCACCACATAACGGTGAATGGTATTTTACATCATCAAAATTACTTTTACCAAGTTTCAACTAGCATTTAAGTGAAAGACATCTGTGCAGAGAAAAAAATGTGACTAAATATAGTAAAAGTAGGTTATAGATATTAAAGAATGAAAAACATCACTCATCCATTCATTATATCATTCATGCTCTAAGCAAATAAGCATCTACAGTGGCACACCAAGTGCCACTGTGAAAATACTGTACATCATTCTGAATTTTGTGAAAATACTATTCATTTTTTCTTTCATCAATATGGAAGTTTCTGGGGGGGAGCCCCTTTGGCTTCCCAGAGCTAACCAGGCTGGTATAAATGTATTAGACTCTGGCATCAGTCAATGCACATAGTTCTAGGGTTACCAGGTACCACGAGCCAGAACCTGGCCCCCTCAGAGAGGCACGAGGAGCATTGTCCTATAGAAACCCCCGTGTGGTTGGAAGCATTCTATGTCTGCCATCGACCGGGTCATGCACCCAGAAAGGTAAGTGCCTCAAAACAAACCCCTATTCCGGTTAAAATATTGCTATTGGAAGCCGAACTAGTGGACAGAACTCCCAACTGAAAACGAGCATGACGTCTCCACGTCACTGTGCCACTGTCTGCACAACCCTTCCCCCTTCCCGGGAGGGGGCAGCATCATATTGATGTTTTTCGGTAGTGGAACGGATTAATTTTATTTCCATTATTTTAAATGGGGAAATTTGTTTCGCAAGACAAGCGTTTCACGTGATGAACTCGGTGCCGGAATGGATTAAATTCGTTAACCGAGGCTCCACTATACAGTACTTGAATTTTTGCTAATTTGGTTTCGTGTGAAGTACTAATGGTATTTGTATATTGTAATTTAATTTTGCTTAGACAGTAATGATAAACAATAACAAAGTTCGAATAACCTTTAGTATTTCTTGTTTTTCAATTTCAGAATTCAGAACAAGAAACTAGCGAGTACACTGAAAAAGGTCGTCCCAAGCGTAAGTCTCGGGCCATCACGGACTTATCAGTGTTTATGAAAAATAAAAAAGATGACTCCTCATCAGATACATCATTAGACAAATTCATTGAGGCAGTGAGGAAATTCCATGAGAAACCTGCACAGTAAGTGACATTCATAATTTTGAAAACTAATCAATGTGCTTTTGATGCAAATACTTTTTCTTTTCTCCCTTTTCCTCCTCTTCTCCAATTCCCTCCCTCTCCTCATGCCTCCTCCTCCATCTCTTCCTCGTGCCTCCATTCCTCCTCCTCATGCTGACAACAGAGGAATTGGCTACTCCCCAAGGCAATATTAACATGGACACACAATCAGAAAGCAGGCAGTCAGCACTGGAGAATGGTTATCAGGAAGTGTTAACGAGGGGACAGAAGAAGTGGAGAAGACAGTATCTGAGACATAGTGTAGACAGTGATAGTGAGACTAATGGAAATGACAAGAGAATAAAGAACAACACTGAGAATTATCCTTGACTATGCATGCATTTTAAACTCTTGGGATTATGGCGGAGGCTCAGGTTATTCGGGAACTACTTAGTGACCAGGCACAACCAGGCTGCAACTCATATGTCAGGTTGTGAGCAGCTGCATCAAACAGCCTGTTGAATTAGTGTTTCTTTATTCTGGATTGTTTATATTGCACTCTGTATGAAATTTGTAACCAAACGTGTAAATAAATGTATGGTAGATTTAAATGTAAAATTTATTTGAAGAATTTTATTTATTTTCAGGAAAGAAGTCGAGAAAACTTCTCTGGTAAGAATTAAAATGCAGAACAAAATGATGCAGTGTCGAAAAATTGTAAATCATCCCTACTTGATAGATTATCCTCTGAACAAAGATGGCACATTTATGGTAAGTTATTTTAGACACAAGTATCTTGGCACAATTTAAATTTTGGATTAATAATTCACCCCATATTATTGTGACTTATTCTCTGCATATTTGGATTGTCTAAAAACGTTGTATAATGTTAACCTTTACCTGGAAACACTGGCAATAACACTCCACATTGTTTTTCATTATGTTCCTTGAACAGTGGAATAAAACTCCACATTATTCTTTATTGTGTTCCAGTCATGTACTGCATTCCCATTTAATACGACAACCCTGTGGTGTGTGTGTCAAAAAATTATTCCCAAAAAGTTTTTCTTTCTGATAGTTAAAATATTTCCCTGATCATGGAAAACTAAAATTTAATAAAACATAAAACATAAACTATGTATGATTGATTGTGGCTTAGGGCTCATGATTGTGTCTATCTGCCAACTGATGAGTGTTGACCAATAATGATTGGTAACTAATGTCTCTAATATAACTGATTCCAGTATCTGTTAAAAAGTGATTGTTAATATTGAACAGAATTTGTTTAATACACGTTTCTTCAGTTACTCATAATTAACTACCTTATTTCTATTTACTATCGGTACCAGTCAGAATTATGGTATTGGTAGAACTTTAGATAATGGTGTACACTATTGGGTAAATATTAAATTGGTGACTTTAGAGGTCTTTCTGATCCTAATAGTTTCCTTGTCTCTTCCACTCTCCCTCATTTTAGGTGGATAATGGCCTTTTGGAAGTGTGTGGTAAACTGCAAGTTCTAGATCAACTATTAGCTGAACTGTACAAGCGTAAACATCGTGTTTTGATTTTCTCTCAGATGACCATGATGATGGATATTCTTGAAGATTATCTCACCCTCAGACCACAATATAAGTAAGATTTGTTCCTTAAACAAACTTTGCAAGCTTTTTTCTGCTCCCTGGAGCTATCAGGCTAATATGTGATACATTAGACCAGGGCTTTAGTCGAAGGAGTTCAGCCTACTGGGGACCACGAGCCAGAACCAGGCCCACTCAGAGCAGCACGAGGTGCAATGGCCTATAAAAACCCATGTGGTTGGAAGCATTCTATGTCTGCCATCGACTGGGTCAGGCACCCAGTAAGGTAAGCGCCCCGAAACAAACCCCTATTCTGGTTAAAATATTGCTACTGAAAGCCGAACTAGTGAACAAAACTTCCCAAATGAAAACGAGCCAACAAGCATGATGTCACCATGTCCCTGTCTGCGCAACCCCCTGCCCCCTCCCCGGGAAGGGGAAGCCCAAGACCTCCCGCTGTCCACCCTGCAGTTCTGTGGCTGATTTGGAACTGGCAAGGTTGTGTGCCTCTGGCTCCATAATTTTCCAGTTCTGTTCCTTGTGGTGGTGTGCAAGCCAGGATTAATTTCTCCAGTACTCGGGCTGCATGTGCTTAGGGTTCCCTTCCCTAGGTGCCCTGTAAGTACTGCCCTTGGGGGCTTGGGGTTACCTTCCACAAGTCACCTTGAGATCTACCTCTGCTGTGTATTTTACTCCTCGGTGATTGACCGTCCTTGGAGTCGGCTGCGGTGTTTCTTGGGTCCTGGGGTAAACAGGGTCCTGGCCGCCCGCTATTTGGTTAACGTTCCTGGGTAAGAGTGTTCTTGTGTTGCTTTGAGTCGCAGGTTGCAGCCTGTTATCTTGACTTCGAGTTGAGGGGTGTGTAGTGGCCGCCTCCTGGGTCAGTCCCTCTTTTTCCTTATCTTTGGTTATGTAGCTCCAGAGAGCCAAAGGGGCTCCCCACAGAAAACCAGCATTGAATGTAATGAAATGCCATTTTCTGGGTGAACCCCAGAGGCTCCCTGGCACCCTCTCTTCCTCCGGTGAACAGTTTTCGCATTGTTTTGATGCTTAGCCTCCAAACTGGAGTTACTAGGTAGTCAACAGGGGGGGGGGGTTCAGGGCTACCTTCCCTCCCCCTCCTGGGGAGGGAAGGGCTACACGGACGAGCGGCAACAACATGGTGTGACATTTGCTTGTTTCCTTGGAAATTGAGGGAATTCTTCCTCTGTTTGATTTTTAGTTGCAATTGTTTTACCATGTGTGGTCTGTTTTGTTATGCCTACCTTTCTGGGTACCTAACCCTGGTCGATGGCAGATAAGGAAAACCCTAAACCACAGGGGGAGGATTTCAGGGCCATTGCTCCCTGTCTCTGAGGGGGGGGGGCCCTGGTTCTGGCTCGTTGTTCCCCAGTAGGTTGAACATTGTCTAAAGCCCTGGTCTAATGTATCGTCTATTAGCCCAATAGTACCAGGGAACTTCCGGGGCTCACCCAGAAAATGGTGTTTCATTACATTCAATGATGCTTTTATTTATTTATTTATTTATTTATTTATTTATTTATTTATAATGTTATCTTTTGTAACTAGATATTTTCTTTATTTTTTTGTTAAAAAATATAAATCCTTTAGCTTATTTTCTTTTTTAGTTTTTTTTATGGTTGCAGCACTTTAATTTTGTATGGTTCCTTTCTTACAAAGAGTAATATATTGTACATTATTCTTTGTTCAATAGTCAGGATTATTGTAATAAATAGCTCATATATGTAAAGTGGTCAAATATTTCTTAACTTATTTCCTCAAGGTTTTGATGCAATATAATATTAACTAACCATAATTCAGTGTTAAGTTGCCTGCCAGATTCAATCACTGTCACTCCATTCAAGCTTCAAACCTTGCATCTAGTTTTAAGAAAACCCTCTAAACTTTCTCATTATTTTATCAACCAACTATTTTTAAAGACTGCATTATTTTGATAGGTACAAACGTCTGGATGGTGCAAGTGCCCTAGAAGATCGCCAGAGTGACATCAAGGAATTCAATGATAAAAACTCATCAGATTTTCTATTTTTGCTGAGCACACGTGCTGGTGGACTTGGGATTAACCTTGCTACTGCTGATACTGTTATCATTTATGACTCAGATTGGGTAGGGTATTTATTTGAATTTCTGTTTAGTGTTTATATATTTTAATTCTTTCCTAGTATTAATAATGGCAATTAAAGGTATTTGTGAAGCATATGTAATCCATGCCATTTTTGTCGTTGGTTTCATAAAATGTTGATGTTAATTGAAGAATAAATGTAAATTTAAATGTTTGGTTTGACATAAGTTTAATACTGTCAATATGAAACATATCATATGTTGATGGTTTTCCTGATTATTGTTTTTTTTTTTTTTTATATAAAGAATCCCCAGTGTGATCTACAAGCTCAAGACCGCTGTCATCGAATTGGCCAGACATCTCCTGTTTTGGTTCTGCGTCTCGTAACTGCATCTACTATAGATGAGCGGGTTGTTGACCGTGCTGCAACAAAACGAAAATTGGAAAAGCTAATAATTCAATCTGGAAAGTTCAAGTCGGCTAAACAGAGTGACCGGGTATTTGAAAAAGTGATGGATGAAGAAGAATTGATTACCTTGCTTAAGGAGAGAGATCATGAGAGAATACACAGAACTACAACTGGAAATGGTAAGATTTGAAATAGTAGTTTGATTTTAGCACCTTGTGTATGGGATTAAAAAGAGAAGTTTTGCAAAGTTAAACATAAAATAAGGCAGGTGAAAAAAAATTGTGTTGCGGTTATATTCTAGTATGGAGGAATAATTTAGATATTGTTCAAGGGCTGTATGAGTGGAGCCTAGACTGACTTATTGATGCAAAATAATGTTGTGAAATGAGCATGAAAATCAAGGGTTATAGAAATTATAAATTTTAGGTGTTTATATACTTGGAGAATAGACAAAATAATAATGTCATGGAAGGACATGTAGTGCAAAACTTGGGAAATCGTAAGACTGAGAAGTATATCAAGATGGTTTGATCATGTTGAACAGATTGATGATAACAGTAAAGTTTGAATGAATTTGAGAGTAAGAATTTCCCCTCTGGGAACATTTGTCCCACAGAAGAATTTTTGGTAAATCTAATACTGTCACATGAATTTGTCACTCACTTCGTCCATTACTTTTTGTATTGGCATCCTGAGTGATATTTAGCCTCTTATGCCCCTTCAAAGGTCTCCCTTTGTCGTGTTGGAGGCTCATGTACAACATTAAGACTTGTTAAGGTCTTCAGATCACCCACAGGATGGAACTACCTTTAGAGGTTGATTGTCTGGGCAGGGGTGAAAGGGAGAAAGAGGTCTTTGCACTGGTATAGAAGAATGTACGATGCAGTAGGACTGTCGTTAAAAAGGGGAGCACTGCTTCCGATGGCTCACCCTTTCCTCTACTGGTCAGCCCTTGGCTTCTCTTGGTTTCTTGGTAGATGGTATTCCTTTGTTCCAGGATCTAAAACTTAAAAAAAAAAATGGCGCATAGTAAGTGAAACAACTTTTTGAACACAGGCTCGCAGGGTGGATGATCACACCTCTGATTCAGATAGTGATGGAAGATTGAGCTACATAGCCCCAGCTACATTGGGCCCGAACCAGGCTTCATCTTTGACTAACTCGACTGATCCTCTCCATTTCCCTCCCACTTCTTTGGCAGGGTTGAACCCTAATCCCCAAATGGTGATTACCTCAATACCTGAAGTGGCTCCATCTTTAGTTGTTATAACTGTACCTTTACCTTTCTTGAATAAATCCACAAAGGCCGTGATGAGGGTTCGAACCTACATCCGGGATGATTCCAGACGTGCCTTAATCGACTGTGCCACGATATGGTCAAAAGAATCCCTTGGTTTCCAGTTTAAAACCCTGGTTTGTGTCTCGGAGAGGCTGCAGGATCCATGTGGGGGCAGTAGCACTCCTGGTTGCAAGTCTTTTGACCATGTTGTGGCGTAGTCGAATAAGGCGCGTCTGGGATCATCCCGGACGTAGGTTTGAACCCACATCATGGCCCTTGTAGATTTGTTCATTTGATGTATCACGCTATTGTGATTTCTGTGTGTATTTACCTCTCTTAGAGAGCACGGACCATGTGCACCATAATTGCCATCAAACTTGTATAATTTCCTCAATCACTGCTACGTATCATGATCTGTTTGGCCCTGCTACGTGGCCTAAATATTTTGATACGTGTGTGCCACAATATCCATACCTGCACTGATAATTTCCACATATATAAGCTCTTTGTAAACTCTGTGGATACTTAGGTTACTGTTAACCCCACCCAGACTGGCACGCCCGTCGTTGAAGCCCCTTCTAAAGGGCAGCCAATCACCTAATGGCTGTTTTCACCCATCATCTGTGACCGTTGGCAGGGTCATTGATTTCGTATTATGTCCTTGGCCTTCCTCCTACTACTACTGTAATATATAGTGGGAAACTGCTCTGGCTATGTTACATATTGACAACAAAGACTTAACTCATGGGCACCTAATGGAATGCCTTCCTGTTCTATATTGTCCAAACTGCACTATCCCACTTCAGAGTTGTGTACTTCTTTGTAGAATGTCCACATTTTCAGAACTATTATATGTCTTGCTTTTCTTATGTCCCTTGATAGAATCCTTAGTAAATCTGAAATCTTTTATATTGCTTGCCTTAAGTTCTTTTGTTCTTGTATTGGCATCTTGAGTGCCTTTTAAATGTCCAGTAGTACAGACGATGCTTCATTCTTCCCAGCTTGGAGCCTTCTTTTGAATATTATTTACTTGAGAGTAAGACAAGAATGCCGAAATGATGAGCAGACATGGCAAGTTTGTGAGAAAGCAGAGATTTACACGCAGCATATACTTCCTATTCACTGTGTAACAGTGAAGTAGGAAACAATGCAAAGTCTAAATAGGTAGAGAGACTGTGTTGCTAGTGTGTTCTTATTAGTGTCTTAAGAAAAGCGAGATCAAGCTCTTTACACCATACCTGGTACATTTTTAAATGTTTTGACGTTCATGTTTTCTGTTGGACTGTATGGTGGTACCTTGGTTTTCGAATTTAATCCGAAAATTTGTAAACCGGAACAAATTTTCCCATAAGAAATAATGTAAATTGAATTAATTCGTTCCACACTCCCAAAAATATTAACTTAAAACTTCATTTCATAATACACACAAATATTTTGTACAATTTATAGCTTACCTTTATTGAGGACTTGTTGGCGTATGGAAGATGGTGAGGAGGGGGGGGGGAAGGAATGGTGTTACAAGGGGAGTACTCTCTCTAGAGTACTCTGGGATACTCTCTCCTACAATTTACAGGCATACCACTAGGTCCTGGTTGTGGCTCACTGCTTCTTGGTCTCACTAAGAACCTTTCCATATACTTGTTTTCCTTACATTTTAACACTTGGCTGTAATGTTTTATCTGTAGTCTAACACTTGTCTTTTTAGTAAAACTTTGCAGTTCTTCCCATACTTTACACATTTTCTTAATGAGGAATTGACATCCTCTACTGCCTTTACTCACAACTATAAGGCACTGGTAAACTGAAGCGTGACGCCCATGCCACCAGGAACCACACTCTCGGTCAACCTATACTTGTATCAAAAAACTCTCAAAGTTCGTAAACCGATTCAAATTTTACAAAGAAATTGAGCTAGTAACCCCAAAAAATTGTAAAGAGGAACGTTCTGCAACTGGGGTTCCACTGTATTTGCATTAAACATAAATACTGTATTTGTAATCTTGTTTATTTTCAGTTTTCACGAAGGAAGAGCTGAATCGGCTGCTTGACCGCAGTGATCTGATAAAGAAAAAACGCAGTGGAAAGGAAACAAATGAGCAGGCACTCAATGGAGTGTTTCGAGTTGTAAATGAAGATGACTCGTAGAGCACCATGACTTGTGTGTTTTTAAAAATGAAGATCTGAACCTAAATTAAACAAAAATTAATGACTTTAAAAGTACTATAGTGAATTAGTTGTCAGTTGACATTTTTCAGTGTTGAAAATTTCCCTCATTTGCTGCCGCTGTGTGTAACGGTGGGCTTTCTTGAGGTTACAATTATTACAACTTTAATTTATATTGCTAATACTTGTGATTTATATTTTTCCTGGTACCATTATCCTCTTATGTTAAAAAGATCCTTTTCTTATCTTACATAATATTTCTGGTCAACACATGTGTAATTCAACAATAAACTAACATAAAACCCTGGTAAATTAATTTTTTTACATATGAACTTCAGAAATTTTTCATGTGTAATAACTGATGTAGTGACATTGTGCTCAGGCCGAGTTAACCGAGTGTAGTCTCAAGTTTCCACACAGCCAACCTGCAATTTAAAGGCCAGTAAGTTTACTTTTTGTATATTGGGTTTATTATATAAAAGAATGTAAGCCCAACATTAAAACTGAAATTTGAGCACCATTATCCTAAGAAATACTGGCCCCCTCTGTTTATGAATTTAATCCGTTCCCAGGGACAGTTCATAAGCTGGAAATTCGCAACCTAAAACAAATTTTCCATAAGAAATAATGTCAATTGAATTAATCCGTTCCACACTCCCAAAAATATTAACTTCAAAATACATTTCATACCTAATTCACAGAAATATTTAGTACTATAATATGTACAAGTTATAGCTTACTTTCATTGATGACTTGTTGGCATATGGAAGACAGTGAGGAGAGGGGTGGAGGAGAGGTGTTAGTGTTTGTAAGGGGGAGTTCCCTTCTTTTTAACATATCACATTGTCATTTAAAAGGTCAATGCCTGCTACAGCTTTATCCAGGTGAGTTTTTCAACAAAATTTTTCAGTTCTTCTCATACTTTACACATTTTCTTAATGACGAAGGGACATCCTCTACTCACAACTATTTTCTTAGCTTGAATTTTACCACTGACTTGGAACTCATGGTGTGACATATAATAATTACTTTTATATTCAAAGACCAAAAAAAAAGCAAAAAAAAAAAAAAAATGAAATTCTTTACAAAGAATTAAAGTGTGATCGTCACTAAGCAGGAGGCGCTGGTAAACTGAAGCGCGGGCGACCATGTTTCATTATATGAAGATTTTGTACATGTATAACATACAGTTGATTCATACTGCACAATCACTCTTGAGAGTGGTGGTAATGTTGTGATCCTGGGAGGTTGTACATTACTAAAATATGCAGAATGCCCTGTGTGCTCTTATTTATATTTCATGACTCGTTCCCGTTGTTGAATAAAAAGAGGTAGCAGAAAGATATTTTCTTTTTAATAATGATACTGTAATCTATATTCAATTATTTTAGCAAAATGTTTGTTATTCTTTGCACAGGTGTGAAAGAAACATGTACAGTATTTGGCAAGAGCCTGGTAACATTTCTGTGGCTAGAAAATGTTATCGAGGTGTCAGGCGTAGAATTAAATTTATACCTATTAATTTTTGTCATTTGTTTGTAATAAGGAACAAGCAACAACTTTTCTCTTTGGTTTGTCATGATCAACTTGATAATTTCTTATTTTGGGAAATTTGTTTTATGGTTGAAGACATTTCCAAACTTACTTTTTTTTTTACAGCACCATTCTATGTATTTCTTCTGATGCATATGATATAAGGAAAATCTAATTTTACGTTTTATGTCTTTATATTGGCCAATGTTCAAATTCATCTCGAGTTACTTGCTGGTAATCACCACCTGGTACCCTTGGCATTGACCGATCCTTAGTGCCTTTGGAAAATGCTTAACGTTTCCAAGTTGTTTTAATGCATTCCATTGATGTATGACAGCAGCTGGCATCACATTTCCAGTTCTTGCTCTAAATTTAAAATGTACCAAAAAAATTTCAAAGTATTTTTTGTGGGGTTGATTATCCTGTTGATTATCATACTTCAATATTAAGTTTCTCTCTTCAAGTAGGGACCCAACCACTTTGGCTGGACGGTAGAGCTACTTTCTCGCTTCCTGCAGGTTGGCGTTAAATCTCCGACCGTCCAAGTGGTTGGGCACCATTCCTTTCACCTGTCCCATCCCAATTTCATTTTAAAATTTTGCTTAGGATATAAATATTTTTATACTTTTGTATATAGCATTGATTTTAAACTACCATTCATAAAATAGTATTTTGTATACAATTTAAACTTATATTAAGTACATAGTGTTTCAAATACAAAATTCTTAATTTCAAAATACAGTATATATTTATCAGGTAATTTTTGAGAATTTGTAAATGCAGATGAGTAACCATAATGTAGTTGAAGATATGATAACCGAACTCCACATCAGAAAAAAAAAAGACAACATTTCAGTCCTTCGTGGACCATTATCAAGTCATGTTATAGAAGAGAGGAAGGTACAAGCAAATACATTTTCTTATGCCTTCCTCTCTTCTATAACATGTTAATGGTTCAGGACGGACCAAAATGTTGAAGTTTTTTCATTTTCTGATGTGTGGTTTGGTCATCAATTTGTAAATGTTTAAAATGCGATAAAAATGTAATAGTTTGATTTACCTTTACTGTATTTGTAAGTGATTTATAAAAATTGACTAAATTTGTTTCTGTTTATGTCCTAGATTTTTTTTGTGTAATCCAATTTAAGGCATTTGCACAGCATTTGAAATAAAAGCTAAAAACTATTTATTAGGAAACAAAATTTTGTGTTGATGGAAATGCAAGGATGTGTGCCAGCATTTTCTGCATTAGTGACCATTAATTTTCAAAATTGTAAAAAATATAAACATGGTAGTTACCTTCATGTCTAGAGTTGTACATTTATAAGTGGTTCGTGTTTGGAAAAGGACATACTTGAAGGACTGTGTATATATATATATATATATATTTATATCAACATGTCATAGATTTCTGTGTTTGATACCCGTTATCAGTTGGCATTCCTCTTTTGTAACTATTATTTCTTTAAATTTATGTTGAATAAATAATTTCTCGATCAGATTTATCATTTTAACCTTTATATTTTCATTGTCAACTAATAATAGTCATTGTATTATTAATTTAATACAGCAGATAAGTCAATAGCTAATTTGTGGGGTTATAATAATTTTAAAGCTTATTATTAAGTTCTACCAGTACTCCCACTACAAAAGGAAGTGCACAGAGATGCAGCCTCTGCACTCAGGAGCACCACTACACAGACTGCACATCCTCCCACCGATGCTGCTGCTCTGCAATGTGGTCTCCCACACTCTGTGGTCTAACCTGTCTCCACCGGCAGGAGGAAATCCAAAAGATGATGGCTATCACTTCCTCTACCACCATTCCTTGCCTAGCAAACCCACTCCCGTCGGAATTCTGGAAACACGTGATTCCCTCACCACAGCCCAGCCGCCGCCGCACCCAGCCGAACGTATCACCTCAGACCACACCACCACTGGCCCAGCCTACAGCCTCCACCTCACCGATAAAATGGCCTGCAATAATGTTACCCGATACATCAACAGGCTGCCCATCATGCTGCTGTACCCGATGACCTTTTTCCAGCTTCCACAACTGCTATCGGACTCCTGAGTCGACCCCCAGGGAGCCCTCACTGACTGGTCACAGCGACTGTAGTCACTGAGTTTGTCCCACTGACAGGGACGGCATCGGCCCCTAGGACGACAAGGCCATATCCGATGACGAAACCAAGGAAGCCGACCATGATAACTCGATCGACTCTGATGATTCAGTCAGTCGGTTCTCCCGCCCCTCCTGTGGCCGCCCGGGCACCATCTTCCCCTCAAGATCCTACATCGGCATCAACCAGACTGACAGGCTTCCCATGCTGCCTCCTCTAAGTATATCCGACGTGACCTCGCACTTTCCTAGGAGGACAGACAGCATAACTCCATAATCGACGACAACTTCTGGGAATACAAGTGCAAGGAAGCAGGACAGATCCTTCGCATGGACGTTCTTCAAGAATGCCTCAATCACCTCTGCGACTACGACACATCCTGGCCGGGGAGGATTTACTGGGTGCAAATCTTTAACTGTAGCCTCTGTTTAACCCAACAGTAAAATAGGTACCTAGTTGTTCAACGATTTGGTGGGTTCGTATTCCAGGGAACATAGAATTTTGACTTGCCCGAAACGCTACAGCAGTCGGTTTGTTGACATTGTAATGAAGTGTCGTAGAAGTTGTGACGAAGCCTGGGGCAGTCAGGCGTCAGGGGGCGCCTGACAGCTGGGTGGACAGCGCTAATTCGGATTCGTGGTCCTGAGGTTCCGGGTTCGATCCCCGGTGGAGGCAGAGATAAATGGGCAAAATGTTTCTTTAACCTTGATGCCCCTGTTACCTAGCAGTAAATAGGTACCTGGGAGTTACAGCTGCTACGGGCTGCTTCCTGGGGGTGTGTAACAAAAAGGAGGCCTGGTCGAGGACCGGGCCGTGGGGGACGCTAAGCCCCGCAATCATTCAGGATAACCTCAAGATAAGGTCAGAAAGCTGAGTTATGCCTTAGTTATGCCTGAGTTATGCAGAGCCTCACTCTGCTCTGCCCTGCCATAGGCTTCGTCTCAACCTCTACGACACTTCACTGCAATGTCAACAAACCGACTGCTGTAACCAAGGCTATACTAAATCAGGTTAGGTGGGTTGCTTAGGTTCGTATGTTTCGGTTCTGGTAACTAGCACTTTGCGTTTACAAAGTTGTGGTAAATCATGAGAAGTGAGCGCATCATCATTACCAGTTCTGTTAGGTACTAGTATATATGACTTCATAATATGTTAATAACTTGGTGGTACTTAAATATGGATAAGTATAGGAACAGAACAGTTCCTATAAAATCAACTACTGAGATTTTTGCTGTTGTCTTTGTGTAACTATAACATGGAATGGAATACTTCCTGGCGGGGATAATTAACTATCCCCGCCAGGAAGTATAACTTGTTTGTATAACTAATCTAATAACTTGTTTTAATTATCCAGAGATCGCGTGCCGTGTCCCCATTATTTTGGCTCATGTACCCAATGTGGATGCTATACACCCTCGGTTTCTAGAGCAAGAGACCATTCTCCACAAGCGGAATAATAAATTATTCTATAAGGAGACAATAAACTTTTAAAACAATTGTGCCCTGGCTGACTAACCATATGGTTATATTAGATACAAAACCCAACAGTCAGTGATCACACTGCCTCCTTTATACCTTAAACCATACTGTAGTGTAATTCATATTACTACAGTGTAACTAAGGACTTTAGTAATGTGAATTATACTCCCGTAAGGTGAATTATACTATAGTAAGATAAATTACATTGCAGTAATTAATTAAGGTGAATTATATACAGTATAATATGAATTACACTGTATATAATTCGCCTTAATTACTGTAATTCATATTACACTGTATATAAGTCACCTTAATTAATTACTGCAATGTTACTGTAGTATAATTCACCTTACTGGAGTGCAATTCTCCTTAGTTACCGCCGTGTAATTTCTCTCACTGCCATAAAAAAGGCACAAAGAAAATATCGATACAAATCTTGTGGACATTTCAGGTAGTTAAATATTAGACGCGCCGTCACGTGGCGGACGGACGCCTCACGCGGTTGGGAAGGTCGTGATTTTTCGTCGCTTACGGGGGATTAATGACCCTATGAGAGTCTTCGCTGGGACGACAGTGTAATGAGTGCCTAGTGCAGTGATAACGAAGGTAAAGGAAAGTAATTGTTGAAGTCAGAAACGTAGAGCTGTTTTAGTTTGAAATATTGGGTGGTGGGGGGCGGGCAGTGTTGACATTATGGCGCCCGGTCAATTATTGTCAATATGAATATTTGCGAAAATATAAGTGAATTTAAGGACAGCTTGAGAACACATGTTCAAGAAATGTGTAAATATTTCATACAAAATAATCTACTACCAGAAATTTTAGTTAAATCAAGTAGCCGCCAGTTTGTGCATGATAAGCTAGGATGGTGTGCATGATCAGCAAATCAAATTATAAACCAGCTCACCGCAGATATAAGTCGCTTAGTTTAGAAACTGTACTTGTGGTAAATCTCGAACCCATTGTCGAACTGAGCCGTGTTACTAACACATCAGACTGTAACTTGCTTAGCTAAATAAACTTTGAAGTATAGTTCCTGACCTCACTGCATGCTTCTAATCTTTTCCACTACCGCCCACAGGATGGGTATGGGGTCCACTACCGCCCACAGGATGGGTATGGGGTCCACTACCACCCACAGGATGGGTATGGGGTTCACTACCGCCCACAGGATGGGTATGGGGTTCACTACCACCCACAGGATGGGTATGGGGTCCACTACCGCCCACAGGATGGGTATGAGGTCCACTACCACCCACAGGATGGGTATGGGGTCCACTACCGACCACAGGATGGGTATGGGGTCTACTACCGCCCACAGGATGGGTATGAGGTCCACTACCACCCACAGGATGGGTATGGGGTCCACTACCGCCCACAGGATGGGTATGGGGTCCACTACCGCCCACAGGATGGGTATGGGGTCCACTACCGCCCACAGGATGGGTATGGGGTCCACTACCGCCCACAGGATGGGTATGGGGTTCACTACCGCCCACAGGATGGGTATGGGGCCCACTACCACCCACAGGATGGGTATGGGGTCACTACCGCCCACAGGATGGGTATGGGGTCCACTACCACCCACAGGATGGGTATGGGGTCCACTACCGCCCACAGGATGGGTATGGGGTCCACTACCGCCCACAGGATGGGTATGGGGTCCACTACCGCCCACAGGATGGGTATGGGGTCCACTACCGCCCACAGGATGGGTATGGGGTCCACTACCGCCCACAGGATGGGTATGGGGTTCACTACCACCCACAGGATGGGTATGGGGTCCACTACCGCCCACAGGATGGGTATGGGGTCCACTACCGCCCACAGGATGGGTATGGGGTTCACTACCACCCACAGGATGAGTATGGGGTCCACTACCGCCCACAGGATGGGTATGGGGTCCACTAGCACCCACAGGATGGGTATGGGGTCCACTACCGCCCACAGGATGGGTATGGGGTCCACTAGCACCCACAGGATGGGTATGGGGTCCACTAGCACCCACAGGATGGGTATGGGGTCCACTACCGCCCACAGGATGGGTATGGGGTCCACTAGCACCCACAGGATGGGTATGGGGTCCACTAGCACCCACAGGATGGGTATGGGGTCCACTACCGCCCACAAGATGGGTAGTGAACATCAATATATATAAGGGTTGTGAAAACATACGCATGTAAACATGCGTATGTTTTGTAGGTTCAGTTCACCAGATATAAAGAAAAAAAAGACCTTCCAATGTTATACACTACATTGATAAACTTTGATGGAGATGACTGTCCTTAATCGTTTAATATTATCGAACATTGAGAGATATAGTCACTGTGTACAGCAGATGAAGACCCTTCATCATATAGGACCCCCACAGGCGGCTTCTCAGTGCTACCACCAGGAGTGACACGTCACTAGCCTCATCAGAAACGAATGAATAATAAAAATCGTTACTAGGATTAAAAAGAACATGTACTAATTCAATTTCCCGTCTAACTGCATCTATAGGACATAAAAACAAGATGCAGAATATTTACACTAGAAATGATATTAGAAAAGATACAAAGATTGAGTGCAAGACGTGTCACGTGACTCTGCCATTTGCGATGCTAGTATTTATAAGAAAAAATATTCCTCAGGAGGATCAGTGACCACCGTGTAATATCCATGAGCACCAGCGATGTCTACAACTACATTGAGGATGTTGTAGGGATGTACTTAGATGTTTTACAAGATCCATTGGTAAGTACAATGCTGAACAATTTGTGTTTGTCATAATATGCCTTGTAGTAACAATCTTTCTGTAAACATTTACCCATGAACAGTCAACAGACATGTATGCCGGGAAGAGGTAAGTTTTTGGGGCGCGGTAAGTTACTTACCAACTGAAGGACTCGCCGTGACCATTGCACCATTGATCTATCAATGGTTTGGAGGTCACGGTACTGTATACGTTTAGGGGGTGATTCTGGATGTCATGGGTTTGAAATCCTGGTCGGCCTTCACCTCCTTTTGTCCGGTCGTGATGGTCGAGTGGATTAAGGTGTCCTGTACACACCAGTTGCGTTGCTCCTGGCAGTATGGGTTCGAGTCACTTCTGGGGTGCGAGTTTTCAGTTGCATATAGTCCTGGGAACCATTCAGGCTTGTTCGTATTTGTGTTCCTCACGTGTGCCCCAAAGAATGAGGTGATTTGATAAAATACTATGCCCAAGATTATCATCCGAGTGCCGGCGGGGGGGGGGGGCGGGGGGGTTCAAATAACTTCGGCTATCACCTCCTTTTGTCCGGTCGTGATGGTCGAGTGGATTAAGGTGTCCTGTACACACCAGTTGCGTTGCTCCTGGCAGTATGGGTTCGAGTCACTTCTGGGGTGTGAGTTATATATATATATATATATATATATATATATATATATATATATATATATATATATATATATATAGTCGTACCTAGTAGCCAGAATGCACTTCTCAGCCTACTATGCAAGGCCCGATTTGCCTAATAAGCCAAGTTTTCCTGAATTAATATATTTTCTCTAATTTTTTTCTTATGAAATGACAAAGCTACCCATTTCATTATGTATGAGGTCAATTTTTTTTATTGGAGTTAAAATTAACGTAGATATATGACCGAACCTAACCAACCCTACCTAACCTAACCTAACCTATGTTTATAGGTTCGGTTAGGTTAGGTAGCCGAAAAAGTTAGGTTAGGTTAGGTTAGGTAGGTTAGGTAGTCGAAAAACAATTAATTCATGAAAACTTGGCTTATTAGGCAAATCGGCCCTTGCATAGTAGGCTGAGAAGTGCGTTCTGGCTACTAGGTACGACATATATATATATATATATATATATATATATATATATATATATATATCTATATGTCTCTCTCTCTCTCTCTCTCTCTCTCTCTCTCTCTCTCTCTCTCTCTCTCTCTCTCTCTATATATATATATATATATCTATCTCTCTATCTCTCTCTATATCTATCTATATATATATATCTCTCTCTATCTATATATATATATATATCTATCTATATATATCTCTATATATCTATATATATATATATCTATATATCTATATATATATATATCTATATCTATATCTATATATATATATATATATATATATATATATATATATATATATATATATATCTTGTTTACTGGGGGCTGATTTGTTAACACACAATTGTTTGCCCAGTCTTGTAATTTGTCAGTCTCCTTTTGCAATTTTGAGTTCTCAGTTCTCATTGTCTTAGCTGAGTGTTGTTCCGAAATATTGATTCATACAAACGCTTCGCCTCGGGTGGATTGTTCATTTAGCTCCTACGTTATGAACAACCTACAGGGAGCGTGTTCTGGAGCAGGTGTTGAGGGAGCTCACGCTGTCTTTGCGAGGCTTGGCTCTCCAACTTCCCAGTCTCGTCTCCTATGACACCGTATTACAACAAACCCTTAAGACACCATTCTTGGTATGTAGATGCTTTTGGAATGCTTACCTTCGTCTTCGTGTGGGGCAGGAGCATATACTTTGCTTCACGGGTAATTTTGTGTCAGTTTTACCTGAGAGTGACTTAGAGCTCAGACTTTTATTGACAGGTTAACAAACTTATAAGTCACATGAAATGCACATAAACTTAGCGAAGGTTATGTGTCTCGAACAATGAACTTTGTTCATGCCTCGAACAACGAACTTTGTTCATTGTGGCACTATGAACGTTCTTTGTGCCACACGTTCCTTAGTGCCACATGAACGTCGATCAATTGCTCTTGTGATATTAATTATCAAAATGATTATATCTGAAATAATTTTGTTATGGTAAATAAAAGACAAAATTAAATATCTAGAAAATTATTTACTGAAATAAAATAAATCTATATGTACAATCAGGATAAAATTACTATTTACACAGTTTTACAGCACACAACACTAGTTAGGCAGAGTTAGCCTCGTGTCAACGGCTAAGGCGCTCCATTCAAATATCCCAATAAACTTAATACAGTGTCACCACACTAGGTAGACTCAATTGTACAAAGCAAGCCTATTAGCATTTTGTAAATAGTTTACAAACACACGTACATCCATCTACAGTTCGGAAGCTTTTGTAAGTTTACTACGGTAGTTCTATACCTAGACACTGATAATCAAGGTTTTTAAGTAGAAATACAACCCTAAAAATATTAGAGCTACATTTGTATTTTCGAATATACTGAGACCTTGAATAGACACACACACCCAGACATGGCTATAGTGTAGCCTTGGTGTCCACAAGCCCTCGGTGCTGGAAGCTCTCTCATCAACCTCAGTCGTAGTATAAGTTATAATAAACAGTGAGGCGGCGGGAGACATCTCCCGGCCACTACGGGCTCACCATAGCCCGTGCTTCTTGCCCCGCTCTTGTGCCAGGTAAGTTACGGGCTCACCATAGCCCGTGCTACTTGGAACTTGTTCCGCGTAGCTGAATCTATAACAACAACATATAACAACAATGAGGCGGATAACTAGGACAAACAAGTTCAACATGCACACCAATACATGAACACTCGAGGTGCTAGGACTGACCCCTCATAGTTCGCTTTGGTATTTCACCTTCAAAGTCGTGTTGTCCCCACACTGACAGCTCCACACTCTACTCTGCTGCTCACATTTAGTCTTAAACTCAGATGGGTTTGTAATTTCCAAACAAATATTACAAATTTGTAAACATATAATTTGTTGAATGATCACCTGGGTAGCTGTCATAATGGACGCTTGTCATTGAGGCGAAACCAGACTAGTGAAGTAATTACTTAATTATGTCATAGAAGTAAGTCCGGGCTTTAGTGCTACTAACAACAATGTCATTGGATGATATGTGTGGTGTGGAACTAGTACCACACCACACACTAAGTTAGTAAGGAGGCCGCTCAAGCACCACGGGAAGTACAACGCCATATTTTCCTTAATAATATTAACTAGTCTTGAGAAACATCTCCCACCGCACATCACTTGTACACTCAAAGAAGAAACATTATGTAACTTCCTTAAACATTTCACATATGAAGTGGCACCAGCATGTACACTTAACAAGTACAGAGTTAACAAGTACAGAATTAACATGTACAGTTAACATGTACATAGTTAACATGTACAGAAGGTAAGACTGACAAGACAGGTAAGGATCAGTGTGACTGGTATATTATTAACAAGAGGTTCCTAAACTGAGGTCTCAGCTTATTGTGAGGAGAAGCCACTACCTGGTTCCTCCTTCCCTTCTACCCTGAGCTCTCAAGTCTCCCACGACCGACCAGCTCAGCTCGTCTTCCTTGAATAGATAGCAGGTACAGTTTTTATATTCACATGTGACTCTAATACCCGTTTAAACTTATCAAACTAACTAATTATATGTATATGTATATATATATATATATATATATATATATATATATATATATATATATATATATATATATATATATATATATATATATATATATATATATATATATATATATATATATATATATATATATATGACAGTGTCAGACCACGGAGGAAAATTGAAACAGAAATTTCCTTAAGTACTTTCGTATATTAATACATCCTCAGAAGGAGTCTGAATACTATATGTATTAACATACGAAAGTACTTAAGGAAATTCCTGTTTCAATTTTCCTCCGTGGTCTGACACTGTCACATTTTTAATCACGTGTTTATTTTCGTGATACACACACACACACACACACAAATATATATATATATATATATATATATATATATATATATATATATATATATATATATATATATATATATATATATATATATACCCAAGACACTACCCAACAGAGGCTGGAGAAGTTGAGCCACACAGTCAGGCTCGAGGGGCCTTGGGGGGCCCCTATAGCCTTGGGGGGCCCTATAGCCTTGGGGGGCCCTATAGCCTTGGGGGGCCCTATAGCCTTGGGGGGCCATATAGCCTTGGGGGGCCCTATAGCCTTGGGGGGCCCTATAGCCTTGAGGGCCCTTTATCGTTGGGGGGCCATATAGCCTTGGGGGGCCCTATAGCCTTGGGGGGCCCTATAGCCTTGGGGGGCCCTATAGCCTTGAGGGCCCTTTATCGTTGGGGGGCCATATAGCCTTGGGGGGCCCTATAGCCTTGGGGGGCCCTATAGCCTTGGGGGGGACATGGAACATCGCGGTGTGGGTGACACTGCGAAGCCTCCAGGTGGACACGGACATGGTGAGTAATGGCAGGCACCAGCGCCCCGGACACTGACCCTCCAAGTAATAAAGTTACAGGTAGCGTAGTGGGTTGCGGAACACCCGGGGAATTACATCTATAAAAATAAGTGAGGTTGGTGGAAGGTGGAGGGGCAGAGTCGGGGCGCGGGTGAGAGTGGCGGGCTGGTGGTGTACGGGCGCGGAGGCCTGCACACACCTACGTTAGCGCGCGAGCTCACGCTAAACACGCTGCCAGCCATGGTCGCTCAACACTTGCGACTTAGCATACTTGCCACACTTTTGCCCGTTAAAAAACTTCTTAGTATTATATGACTTGGCGTATGGCACATGTTAGTCAAGGTACACGAATTGACTTGAACAGACTGACTTGGAATGCGATTCTACCACAAGACAAAGGCGAGCCGGTTGTGGTCATACTCATGTGGTGTGACAGGATAATGAAACCCGGCCCCACACACACGCTTATATACAAACACACACACACACGCTTATATACAAACACACACACACACGCTTATATACAAACACACACACACACACTCACATACACCACATATTATACCCGGAGATGCGGGTCTTTGCTTGGCACCATGGCGGGCTCTCAGACGCTGCCTCTTGATACACGGAAAAATGCGTACACACCTTCACATATTATGAACAGAGAGCTCCTAGTGCAGAGCGTAAGCACCACGTGTACACAAAGACGTTTTCTCTCATAACTCATAAAAAAGACGCACTCACTCTCATAAATAAAGCGAGACAAGGAACTGGAGCATCAGCAACGCTATGTACAATGGCGGGACTCAGGTAGGACGTAGTTTAGGACTGAACGACAATGTCGCCAACAGATCCTGGCTTCCTGAGGGTGTGGAGGCGGGCCTGGCTGCCTCGCACTGCTGCTGGGGAGGCCTGGGCGCCGCTCCTAGCCACGACGGTGGTGAGTGCGTTGTTTCTTACGATATCGCTTATCTTTGTTGGTCCCTCGTTGACGCTGGCTGCGGCCCTCGTCTGTGGCGGCAGTTGGCTGACTCGACGACCCTCTCTCTCCTGAGGAACCACGCTCTCCTGAGAACCCTCGTTCTGACGACCCCCGTTCTCCAAGACTGATGCTGCGACTGATGGCAGTTAGGGTCGCTTGTGTACTGTACACTCTTGGGTTTACCTCAGAGTCTACTTCCTCCTGAAAATCATCTTGATGAGCGTCAGGGTAGTAGTTGTTGGCGTGACCGTGGTTAGCTTGGTGGTTTGTTTGACTCGGGTGATTGATGTTTAGGTGGTGGTTACTGCTCAATGGGTGGTTACTGTTTAGTGGGTGGTTACTGCTCAGTGGATGGCCGCTGCCCACTGGGTTACTTGGGTGACTACTACCCAAGGCCTGGTTATTGCCCAAGAACTGCTTATTGCTGTGAATGTGTCCGCTTCCGGCTATGCTACTTACTTTATCCTGAGATTTCCCATGAGATAAATTATTGGAATAAGCGCGGTTGTGATGGTGTGTGGGCGAGTGGCCGGGCATGGAGGGGTGGCGATGGGGGACGGCGGAGCCATACTCGTAGTAGTCGTAGGCGGTGGGGTCGTCTGACTGCACGTCCATGGTCACCCCCTCCAGCTGTGGCATGGGGCTAGGTGATGGCTGGTTGGCCGCCTCTCCTTCGTCGTCGGGGCTTCCCAGGCGGACGTTGAGGGCCGGGTAGCGCTGACTTTCTTCGTCTGTCTGTACCTCAAAAGGCAGCGGTACCTGACCTGCAAGCAACCCACACTTTCATGGTTAATACTTTCCACAACATCCTTTATTATGCATTATATGATACGAAAGAAAACAAACATTAAAGAGTTTTAAATTGGCTAATTTTTCTCATTACTGTTGATATTAATTAATTAAGAATATGTGAATACAATAAAATCTTTAAATGTAAATTCTTGGTCACAAGTGATTATGAATAACCTGCTGATATATTGTTGAGGAGTGAGACGGATTGGTGAAGGGCATCCACAGTTGTCTGTGAGGGGTGAGGGAGGACTCTTCTGTGAGGGGTGAGGGAGGACTCGTCTGTGAGGGAGGACTTGTCTGTGAGGGGTGAGGGAGGACTCTTCTGTGAGGGGTGAGGGAGGACTCGTCTGTGAGAGGTGAAGGAGGACTCGTCTGTGAGGGGTGAGGGAGGACTCGTCTGTGAGAGGTGAGGGAGGACTCGTCTGTGAGGGGTGAGGGAGGACTCGTCTGTGAGAGGTGAGGGAGGACTCGTCTGTGAGGGGTGAGGGAGGACTCGTCTGTGAGGGGTGAGGGAGGACTTGTCTGTGAGGGGTGAGGGAGGACTCGTCTGTGAGGGGTGAGGGAGAACTCGTCTGTGAGGGGTGAGGGAGGACTCGTCTGTGAGGGGTGAGGGAGGACTCGTCTGTGAGGGGTGAGGGAGGACTTGTCTGTGAGGGGTGAGGGAGGACTCGTCTGTGAGTGGTGAGGGAGGACTCGTCTGTGAGGGGTGAGGGAGGACTTGTCTGTGAGAGGTGAGGGAGGACTTGTCTGTGAGGGGTGAGGGAGGACTTGTCTGTGAGAGGTGAGGGAGGACTCGTCTGTGAGGGGTGAGGGAGGACTCGACTGTGAGGGGTGAGGGAGGACTCGTCTGTGAGGGGTGAGGGAGGACTCGTCTGTGAGAGGTGAGGGAGGACTCGTCTGTGAGGGGTGAGGGAGGACTCGTCTGTGAGAGGTGAGGGAGGACTCGTCTGTGAGGGGTGAGGGAGGACTCGTCTGTGAGGGGTGTGAGGGAGGACTCGTCTGTGAGGGAGGACTCGTCTGTGAGGGGTGAGGGAGGACTCGTCTGTGAGAGGTGAGGGAGGACTCGTCTGTGAGGGGTGAGGGAGGACTCGTCTGTGAGGGGTGAGGGAGGACTCATCTGTGAGAGGTGAGGGAGGACTCGTCTGTGAGGGGTGAGGGAGGACTCTTCTGTGAGGGGTGAGGGAGGACTCGTCTGTGAGGGGTGAGGGAGGACTCGTCTGTGAGAGGTGAGGGAGGACTCGTCTGTGAGGGGTGAGGGAGGACTCGTCTGTGAGGGGTGAGGGAGGACTCGTCTGTGAGAGGTGAGGGAGGACTCGTCTGTGAGGGGTGAGGGAGGACTCGTCTCTGTGAGGGGTGAGGGAGGACTTGTCTGTGAGGGGTGAGGGAGGACTCGTCTGTGAGGGGTGAGGGAGGACTCGTCTGTGAGGGGTGAGGGAGGACTTGTCTGTGAGGGGTGGGGAGGGAGGACTCGTCTGTGAGGGGTGAGGGAGGACTCGTCTGTGAGGGGTGAGGGAGGACTCGTCTGTGAGGGGTGAGGGAGGACTCGTCTGTGAGGGGTGAGGGAGGACTCGTCTGTGAGGGGTGAGGGAGGACTCGTCTGTGAGGGGTGAGGGAGGACTCTTCTCACAGGAAACAAAGTATAATACAGTTGCGTGACTAAGGATAATGTTTTCATGATACGTTAGGGAAGTTTATAAGTTGTGGAAATATAGTTAAACTTTTGTATCTTGTATAGGAGGAGGCTTGGTGTGTACAGCCGTGGTGCTGAGTGCGTGTGTGAGCTGAGTGCGTGGTGCTGAGTGCGTGTGTGAGCAGCTCCGTGGCAGCTTAAGTGCTCGTCTGGCTTGTATCTAGGGAGGCAGGAGGGGGGGGAGGAGATGTTCAGCCCACAGCTATGTTCACTCATATTCGTGAACAAATTGTATCGAACAGCACTTTTGTAATGTATAAGGCTGCCCTTTATGGCTAAGTATTAGAATTGTGGTGCTATTTGCGGGGCGTTAAATCCGGTGTCAGGACTGAGCGAGACGCGGAACAGCAGAAGCGGGGCTGGTACGCACTGTAATTACCAGATGTGCAGTCCATGGTGACGAAGAGGCGGGGGGCGTCCCAGGGGGTGTCATCGATGTCGCTCACTGTGATGAGGAGGCCGTGGTTATTTCTCTGTCGCTTCCACCTGTGCGCCATCAAGTCGACGGGGAGAGACACCCATCCCAGGTACTCGCTGGACACCTGGGCGTCTGCCACCAAGTTCTTCCTGGCTACAAGAGAGAGAGAGAGACACCCAATATAAGTCTGTGTAACAATATCCACGCATGTCTGTCTATACTGAGAAATAATTGAATAAACTCTGAGCAATTTGGCTGGCATGAGAATACTGTGGTTTAGCAGCTAATCTCGATATAATTTTGTTTCAGTCTAGCTACTATTACATTTGGGAAATGTGCACCAGATGGCATTCAACATTTTATAATACACTCACATCGTTTACGAGTGAGGCTCTTCGTGTAGACAAAAGCCTCGATGAGCAAGGTTTTGGGGTACTGGAGCGGCGGGGAGTTGTTCTTGAAGAGTCGGAGGGTAGCGTTGATCACGTCCAGTCTGCTGTCGAAGTCGGCGGAAATATTGAAGAAGAGATTGAATCGTTGAGGCCAGATCTCCGGGTCGGCGTGGCGAGGGATGTCACACGAAGGGAAGTAGGTCTGAGACGAACATCTCTGTGGAGACACACATCATATTTATGTATCTAAAAAATACGGTGTTTAATTCTATGACTGATTAGCGCCATCGTTTACTGAAGTTAAATTTCAACTTCATTGTTGATGTCAGATATTTCAAGGTAAGCTAACATGTCTGTTAAAGAGCGAAGTGCTCCCGCTGCTGGAGGAGCGGGCCGGAGCCTGCTCTTCACCGCGGGTACTCACCTTGTACTTGTAAGGGCAGGGCTCAGCGGTGATGTTGATGGGGGTGGAGACAGTGGCCAGGGTGTCATTGGTGGGAGCCTTGGGTAGTTTCTCTCCGAAGGGCGGCCCTAAGGCGATCAGGATGCGGTCCATGATGTTCAGCTTGGCCAGCTCCCGAGCGCTGCGCGTGGCAAGGAGGAGAGGTATTGTTAATTACGTGTTACATCACCATTCACGATACTACTTTATCTAACACGCGCGCGTATATTAGTATATGCTGAAACGCATGTAACTGTCGTCATTTAGCCATGCGTATACTATAACGACTGCCTCTCTCTTACACCAGAAAATAATTATATAAGTAATCTCAACGCTTGACATTACTTCACTATACCCACACATGAATGGCTGCACCACGGCACCTGAAGTGCTGTGGAACACACCTGGTACAACGTTGTGACCTCTCACAGACGTTGTGACCTCTCACAGACGTTGTGACCTCTCACAGACGTCGTGACCTCTCACAGACGTTGTGACCTCTCACAGACGTTGTGACCTCTCACAGACGTTGTGACCTCTCACAGACGTTGTGACCTCTCACAGACGTCGTGACCTCTCACAGACGTCGTGACCTCTCACAGACGTTGTGACCTCTCACAGACGTTGTGACCTCTCACAGACGTTGTGACCTCTCACAGACGTCCTCTCACAGACGTTGTGACCTCTCACAGACGTTGTGACCTCTCACAGACGTTGTGATCTCTCACAGACGTTGTGACCTCTCACAGACGTTGTGACCTTCCACAGACGTTGTGACCTCCCACAGACGTTGTGACCTCCCACAGACGTTGTGACCTCCCACAGACGTTGTGACCTCTCACAGACGTTGTGACCTCTCACAGACGTTGTGACCTCTCACAGACGTTGTGACCTCTCACAGACGTTGTGACCTCTCACAGACGTTGTGACCTCTCACAGACGTTGTGACCTCTCACAGACGTCGTGACCTCTCACAGACGTTGTGACCTCTCACAGACGTTGTGACCTCTCACAGACGTTGTGACCTCTCACAGACGTTGTGACCTCTCACAGACGTTGTGACCTCTCACAGACGTTGTGACCTCTCACAGACGTTGTGACCTCTCACAGACGTTGTGACCTCTCACAGACGTTGTGACCTCTCACAGACGTTGTGACCTCTCACAGACGTTGTGACCTCTCACAGACGTTGACCTCTCACAGACGTCGTGACCTCTCACAGACGTTGTGACCTCTCACAGACGTTGTGACCTCTCACAGACGTTGTGACCTCCCACAGACGTTGTGACCTCCCACAGACGTTGTGACCTCTCACAGACGTTGTGACCTCTCACAGAAAAAATCTTTCTATCTCTGTGGCTCATCTGGGTACTAAGTTTCCACCTGCGTCCCCTTGTTCGTATTCCAATCATGATAAATAGTTTGTCTTTGTCCACCCTGTCAATTCTCCTGAGAATATTATAGGTGGTGATCATGTCTCCCCTTACTTTTCTGTCTTCGGGGACGTGAGGTTTAACTCCCGTAGCCTTTCCTCGTAGCTCATACCTCTCAGTTCCGGGACGAGTCTGGTGTCATACCTCTGAATCTTCCCTAACTTTGTTTTGTGTTTAGCTAGGTATGGACTCCAGGCTGGAGCTGCATTTTCCAGGATTGGTCTGACATAAGTGGTATACAGGGTCCTGAATGATTCCTTACATAGTTTCTAAAGGCAGTTCTTATGTTGGCCAACCTAGCATATGCCGGTGGTGATATCCTTTTGATGTAGGCTTCTGGGGACAGATTCGGTGGGATATCAACTCCCAGATCTTTCTCTCTATTTGACTCTGGCAGAATTTCACCTCCCAGATGGTACCTTGTGTTCGCCTTCTGCTCCCTTCGCCTACTTTCATTACTTTACACTTTCCTCTGTGTGTGTGTGTGTGTGTGTGTGTGTGTGTGTGGGGGGGGGGGGGGAGTGTGTGTGTGTGTGTGTGTGGGGGGGGGGGGGGAGTGTGTGTGTGTGTGTGTGTGTGGGGGGGGGGGAGTGTGTGTGAAAACAAGGCCAGCTAGGGAGGACAGAACATCATCAGTGAGAGAAGGAGGGAGGTGCCGTGACCCCTGGCTGCTACTGATAATACTCCCTGATGGTAGTAGTAGCAACCACTACTACTACTCTGGTGGTAGCAGAATGTCTCAACCATACTCAGGTTCCCCACCAACACCCACAACTCTCATCTACCCCGTGCTTGCTACCCCTCCATCTACAATTGTGGTAGACGCTTACTTCACTTGGTGTATTATGTAGCCCATATAAGGGTACCGTCACGGCTCAACTACTCTACCCATCCTGTGGACGCTGGCGGAAATGCTTCACTCACATATGACAAATTTTAATGGATATTTGTTACTTTTCTCTGTTAAATGTATTAAATAAATGGTAACAACTTATGTGACAATTATCAGTATTCCCAATACTAATATAATTTTATCTCTTAGAAAACTACGAGCTATTAATCTGGCTTTTATATATATATATATATATATATATATATATATATATATATATATATATATATATATATATATATATATGTATACTGTATATATATATATATATATATATATATATATATATATATATATATATATATATATATATATATATATATATATATATATATATATATATATATATATATATATATATATATATATATATCAATTATATATATAATTGCTACTGAATAATTTTTTTACTGAATAAATAATTTGAATAAATAATAATTTGAATAAATGTTACTGAATAAATAATTTGTTACTGATATATATATCAGCAGAACATTTTAAAAAACTTGTAGTGAGCGAAGACATTGCAGAGAAGAGACTCCTCCCTGTACTGATGAGGAGAGTGTGTGGTATACTTGATCAACACAAAGCAGTAATGTTTGCCATCTGCAGTGTAAGATTATATCGTGGAGTGTAGGTGGAGGAGCTCGTGTCTGTTCTAGACGCACGTCGCCTGCTGAATTACTATAGAGCCTGGGAGAAGCAGGAGGACAGCGAAGCAGTATTAAGGGCCCCTTACACTGTCTCAGTATAAGTCATCGTCAAAGGGACAGCGCTAAGCCAGTATGGCTATACAACACACTGTTCCAGTGAAGGTGTGTATCTTCACGCAAGCTCCCACTACATTATATCTGTAGACCCATCAACAACAAGCGTATGGTTGTAAAGCATCCAAGAATTAAGCGAGTTTCCAACAGCAGTCAAGAAGTAAGCCATGGTTCAAAGCACTCGACTAACAGTAGCAATATTTCTTAGCAATCGACCAGTAAAAAGCGCCGCTTTTTCCTCCTAAGCATTCGACCCATGAAAAGCAGTTTTTCAAAGTAAGCAAAAGTTTGGTTTTTCAAAGCAGCCGGCTGTGGCAACCTCGTTGTCTTACCTTGTGAAGTTGGCGTCGTCTCGTATGTTATGGTCGGCGCTGCTGGGGACGATACAATATATCATGAACATGGGAGGCTTCCAGTCTTATCACCACAACACTCATGATAACACACACTACCAGTCTTATCACCACAACACTCATGATAACACACACTACCAGTGTTATCACCACAACACTCATGATAACACACACTACCAGTCTTATCACCACAACACTCATGATAACACACACTACCAGTGTTATCACCACAACACTCATGATAACACACACTACTAGAATGCCATGATCACAACATACATGATTACACCCATATTCTAGTGTTATGGCCACAACATACATGATAAGACACATACTAGTAAGACAACAACATACACGATAACAAGAACACAACATACACGATAACAAGAACACATAAGAGTACAACGAGGCCCCAGCATGGAGCCCGTACCTTGTCAAACACAAGACGAAGCTGGAAAATGTTCAGAGGTATGCCACTAGGCTAGTCCCAGAACTAAGAGGCATGAGTTACGAGGAAAGGCTGCGTGGAATGCACCTAAAACGTCACTGAAAGATAGGAGAGCTCGGGGAGACATGATCGCTACCTACAAAATTCTAAGAGGAATCGACAGGGTTGATAAAGTTAAATTGTTTAACACTGGCGGTACGCGAACAAGGGGACACAGGTGGAGACAGAAATATTACTACTCCAAAGTTGGCAGCCTTAGCATTTGTTGCCAGCGATTTATTCCCACCAAAATTATCATTAATAACACGTACTTCAGGCTCTTGTAAATGCATTTTTTTATGGATTCAACATACCCGAAAGTTTAGTGCAGATGTTAAGGTAATTTGGATAAGGTATGAAAGGATAGCCAAACTAAACTTATCGAATTAAGACTCTCCATGAAGATAAAATTGTTCCTCTGATATCACATTTATATGAGGCATATATGTCAAGGTATAAGTCATCAAATACTGTATTGAGGAGTGCTTAATTGCCGCCTTCCCCGTGATGGTGGGTCCTCATCCTCACTTTTTTTTAGTACAGAGGATGGAGTGGTGCAGGCGATGGAAAAAAAGGTTGGAAATGAGTAATACAGTGTGAGTTATGATAGCAGGCGGGCTGTCCGCCTTGCTGACACGATGTGTGTGTGTGTGTGTGTTGGTAGCTAAGCAGAGCTGAGTCATCATACTGAGTGTATGCTTCTGGGGTGGGGGCAGGGGTACGGAGGTGGGGAGGGGAGAGGTGGGTAGGGGGTTGGTAGAGGAACGGGGGAGGGGAAGGGAGAGGGGAGTGAGGGGGACGTTCACCTGCTACTTTACTGGCTACCTATCCAGTAAGAGGTAGTGGTGATATGCAGTGTTTGTAATGGTTACAGTTGCTCCTTACCCTGTGCCACACTTGACCCACGAGGTGAAGGTATAGAATGACTGGTGTATTGGTGCAGGGTTGCCGAGCGTGTTATACCGGCACGGACTCTACCTGTATCACACTCCAGCGTCCTGATGACATCGTCTGTGTCTGTCACGGAGTGATTAGTACACAAATGTGCAGTACTAAGGTTGAGATGGTGTGAGAGGGCTGCGTTTGTCCCCTCCTGGACAACACAACTCGGCATACTGAGGGGAGGCACATTGCCTCATCCAAAAGGAAGGGAGCCGGTCGACCGAGCGGACAGCACGCGGGACTTGTGATCCTGTGGTCCTGGGTTCGATCCCAGGCGCCGGCGAGAAACAATGGGCAGAGTTTCTTTCACCCTGTTACCTAGCAGTAAAATAGGTACCTGGGTGTTAGTCAGCTGTCACGGGCTGCTTCCTGGGGGTGGAGGCCTGGTCGAGGACCGGGCCGCGGGGACACTAAAAAGCCCCGAAATCATCTCAAGATAACCTCAAGATAACCTCCAACATATGTTGGGTTGTGTGAGACAGAGAGCAAGGCACAACACCCCGTCACCTGGGGCTGGGTCACGCTCACTGGCTCTCAGGTCGGGGTTGTACACGCTCACCTTCACCTCATTTTGATTGTAGTCATTTATTATGCACCCGATACCCATCACATGGGCACCTCAAATCCACGCTAAGATCGTATTCACGACTCGCTAAGGTCATGTTAAGACACATTAAAGTCACATTCAGAACAAGCTAAAGTCACGTTCAGGCCACGCTGAGACCACTGTGAGGTCACTCTGAAAGCACCCTAAGGTCACTCTAAAACCAGTGTGGTGACGAGGAAAATGAGGAGTGAGCGTGCAGTAAGCTGGGATCATGTCACTATGCTGAGCAGGCTGTGCTATGCTGAGCAGGCTGTGCTAGGCTGAGCAGACTGTGCGGGGGGGGGGGGGGCAGCTGGCCCCGCCCCGTCCTACCGACCCGACGCCCTCGCCAGACATGTCTGGGCAGGGGCACTGCCCCCTCACGAAAATTTGGGCAACTTAGTTGATGTTATATTGTATCAAGGTTGACAACCTTGATACACAGACATATTTTTCCTGCTGGATAAAGGTCACAGCCATTTTGGTGTGGGATGAGCTACCCCAACACGCAAACATGGTAGCAACGTTAAATCAGTTTAATTTGGTCCCGCGCACAACGTTTATATGGAAAGACTGGTTAACACGCCCCGGCGATCCACGGCTGCTAACCTAATCCGTCGGCTCGGACAAATATTATTGGAGAGGGTTACATTTGTAAAGGACGGGAGACATTTCCCGTCACGCAGGGTGCAGTCGCACCTCCACAGATCTCCAGTATTAGCTCTTGATACTGGTAATGGCTCAAAAGAGCCACCACTTACGGGCTATTCATGCCCGTGCCACCTTTTGGGTGGCTTAATCTTCATCAATCAATCAATCATTTGTAAAGTTTTAGTTGATCGCGCTTCTTGTTTCTTGTATATTGGGTAAAAATTGTGTTACTCGCCTATTTGTGCTTGTAGGATCTTGGATCCCGCTTTTCTAGCCACCGGTTGTTTATTGCAATGACTCCTGACCTAATTTTACACCAGTCAACTAGTTTACAGATTCCTGAACCTACTGGGCTCTATCATATCTACATTTGAAAGTGTGTATGGAGTGTGTACTCACCTAATTGTGCTTGCGGGGGTTGAGCTTTGGCTCTTTGGTCCCGCCTCTCAACTGTGTGTGTGTGTGCTTGCTTGTGCGTGCGCACGTGTAAGTATTCGCAGAAACACCTTCTCTCGCCTCTCCTCATAGCGCATGTTTATTAATGTGTCTTGTAAGACTGGACCCATGAGCTGAAGCTCTGCTCCTGCAAGCACAGCTAGGCGAGCACACCCACGCATAAATATGCCTATTCACAAACAAATCAAAACACAAAAACATATTCATCTAAATAAATACTAAAACTCACGTAAATTATTTTGCTTGTGGCTATTTTTATAACAATGTTAAAACTTTTTTTTCTTTAGACAAAACATATTTAACTAATTATTTATTTAACCATAATAGGTATTAATATAGATATGATCGTGGACGTTAGAGAGGGCCGGGCCAGGCGAGGGAGGCGGCCCGGTCTCCCAACGTTCTCAACGTCAACAAATTGTCGTACTAAAGTGCCTTATCCTAAGCGATAAATTACCTGTAACAGAAAACCTATTGGTTCACGAGCCAGGTAAACTGCGAGGAAATGAGAGTAAACAGCAGGCATCTACGGTACGATAGCCTTTATCTAGGGAGAGAACACGGTAGCAAAGTTGACGGGCTACGGAAGAGAGAGAGAGAGAGAGAGGGAGAGAGAGAGAGAGAGAGAGAGAGAGAGAGAGAGAGAGAGAGAGAGAGAGAGAGAGAGAGAGAGAGAGAGAGAGAGAGAGAGAGAGAGAGAGAGAGAGAGAGAGAGAGAGAGAGAGAGAGAGAGAGAGAGAGAGAGAGAGAGAGAGAGAGAGAGAGAGAGAATTATAATATATACAGAGTAAGAGTCGGGTCAGAGACGAGACCGGGGGGAGGGGGGAGGGGGTAAGGGGGACATGGACTAACCCTTCAGACAAGAAAGGGTTAATAATTGTGAGACGCGTTACTGGACCAATACAATAAATCATCACAGTTCGTGACCATTACATATCCACTGCTGCCCACGGGACGGGTGCCCGTCCCGTGCACGACAGGCAAATGAAAGTTACATGTAACTTACCAAAACTGTAATTGTCTAGCTGACAAGACGATCGGAGTCCAGTACCTGAGCCCATTGTGTGAGACCTTAACCTTCAGGCCACACCATGGGCATGGCGTCATTAGTACACCAATAAAACTATAAACTGTTTATGTGAATAATAGCGCAGCATTTTTGGCGGTTGATGAAGGTCTTCAAGTGCTGCGGAAGTTACCGTACTCAGGGAACTGTGCTCATTCTTAGACCAGTCTCAATATTCCTGTGTGAGCGTGTTTGTTGGTGACCTGGAGGGGCTTCTGGGGCCTTTGTTGGCTTAGGGGGCGTGGTGGTGTAGGGGGCGTGGTGGGCACGGGTGGTGGTGTAGGGGGCGTGGTGGGCACGGGTGGTGGTGTAGGGGGCGTGGTGTTGGGGGCGTGGTGGGCACGGGTGGTGGTGTAGGGGGCGTGGTGTAGGGGGCGTGGTGGGCACGGGTGGTGGTGTAGGGGGCGTGGTGGGCACGGGTGGTGGTGGGGGGCGTGGTGTAGGGGGCGTGGTGGGCAGCAGGGACGCCTAGGGGGGGGGGGGTGTTAACACAGTGGGAGGAGGGGAGACACACGGGACCTTATTTGTCTCTGGTAAAAAGTCAACTTTGCGAATGTGTACGTTTTGTGTGGATGACCAGGGGGGGGGGGAGGGGGCACGGAGTGTGCAGTGAGTGATCATGAATATGAGTGAGTGGGAGTTGTGGTGATCTCCCAGGGACGAGTGACATGGTAGTGAGTAATTGATGAAGATTAAGGTACCGGAGAGGTGGCACGGGCATGAGCAGCCCGTAAGAGGGCGTGGTGAGTAGCGGCAGTATATAAGGTGGGTGACGGGGCGTGACCTTGAAGTACTTACTCGGCAAGGTGGTCCCGGCTGGGAGCGGTGGGCGTGATGGGCTCGAACACACGGTCTGGGATGGGGTGATGGTCCTCCTCCAGCGCGCCCTCGCCCTCCACTAGCTCAGGCATGAAGTCGCTGACGAAGCCCTCGCCCACGGCCAGGAAGTTGTCTTGCGCGGAGTCACGGGTGTCCTGCTCCTGCCCGCGCTGCTGCTGGGCGCTCAGGTCTTCATCTCCCGCAGGGAAACTGATGCTGTGAGCCGTGGCAGTAGTGGCCAGGGCCAACATGGCCACAAGAGTCTGCGTATTCATGCTCACTGTCTCTGGCTGTATCTGTCACTCTCACAGTGTTTATCTTGTGTCTCGGTCTGTCTGTCTCTCTCTCGCTATCTCTCTCTTACACTGCTTCTTTCACTGTGAGTTGTGCACAAGTCTACTTCCTGCCGCTGCCCCGCCGCCTTACATACCCTGGCCATCAGGAGTGGGCGGGGCCTGGCGGCACTTGTGGCCACTCGCTTCAGACAGCGCCCACTCACCTCACCACCATTGGTTACTTCTGGTGGTGGGCGGAGCTTAAGGTGGCCCCTCCCCGAGCCTGCTGACCCTTGGTGCCGCCTGCAGGTGACATTACACCTGCACACGCGCACCCACTCACACTCTATTTGTTTACCTCTCACGGCTCACTCCCTAACTTACAAATCACTCTTATTTCCTGAAATAAACATCAACTTTTGTTGCGTGTTAGTGGTTTTATTTTAGTGGCTAAGGAATTTCCTGTCTTAATCCTTCCTTCTTGGTCTGATTATATATATATATATATATATATATATATAATGTGTGTGTGTGTGTTTTATTGAATATGACTGCATATTCCGTATTGCCTATTTTCTTCTTTAGGACTACAATCCCTGTGACGTGTTCTTGCATCTTGGGTTTAACTGGAAGAGCCGTTCTCCAAATGTCATATTTATTCAAGGTTGAATAAAGAATAACAAAAATTAACAGTAGAATATATTATACTTATTATAACTTACACAACGTGTCGAACCTACAAGGTTCATTCTCAAGTGAGCAGACAGATTGATTGATTGATGAACGTTAAGCCACCACAAGAAGTGGCACGGGCATGAATAGCCCGTAAGTTGATTTTTTTGGAGTGAATGTATACTGTGTGCTGAGGTAGCATTTAAATCGTCAGTCCTTACTGTGTGGCTGCTATCGCGGGAGAGGATACTGCCTGACAGTATTCATGAAGGTGTCCAGCTGCTGGACAATTTTTTTTTACCAGAAGAGTGGCAGTGTTGAAGGCTTCAGGGTGGTTACTGCAAGATTCAGGGACTCGTTAAGCTCTTCTAATGTCGTTGGTCGCTTCACATTCCAGGAGATTGTGAAGTAGTGGCTTTTCTGTGATTGTTTGCACCAAGAAACATTCCCACTCTCAGGGTTCACTCATTTCCCAGTTGCATCTGTAACCCCAGAGTCTAGGTTACAGGAGACGGGTTGTTGTTGTTGTTTTAGATTCAGCTACTGGGAACAAAAAGTTCCAAGCACCACGGGCTATAGTAAGCCCGTAGTGGAGTTACCCGGCGCAGGAGCGGGGCTGTGACTGCTAGCAGAGAAGGCGACAGGAGACATACAGGCCAGGTACATACAGTTAGGTGAAGAGTAAGGAGTGGAGGTAAGCGGTATGGGTCAATAAAAAAGCGCCAAGGCATTACGACTATATAGCACTTGGAAAGGGTCAGGATAAGGATTTGGGATGGGACGGGGGGAAGGAATGGTGCCCAACCACTTGGAGGTGGGTGGAGTGAATAATTCCCTTAATTGAATATTTATGGTGGGTTGTTGTGAACAACCCACCAGCATATGATCAATGGTGAGGCGGTCACAATACCGTCTACATTTGGGGGTGATCCTGGGCGTCATGGGTTCGAATCCTGGCCGTATCATTTAGAGTTCTTAGTGATCTATGTTTCGTTGATTTTCTTTATTTTCGTACAAAAATTTCTAATTGGTTTATTTGAATTATTATTATTATTTTATACTAAGAACATAAATTATTGACTTAGTTATGTTAGTTTAGATTAGGTTAAGATAGGTTAGATTAGGTTAGGTTAGGTTCGGTCATATATCTTCGGTAGTTTTAACTCAAATTAAGAAAAATAAAATCATAAATAATGAATTAAATACCTTTATCATTTCATAAGAAAAGAAATGAGAAAAATATGTAAATTCAGGAAAACTTGGCTTATTAGGCAAACCGGGACTTGCATAGTAGGACAAGTACTGCGTTCTGGCTACTAGGTACAACATACATATATATATATATATATATATATATATATATATATATATATATATATATATATATATATATATATATATATATATATATATATATATATATATATATATATATATATATATATATATATATATATATATATATATATATATTATATATATATATATATATATATATATATATATATATATATATATATATATATATATATATATATATATATATATATATATATATATATACTAGGAGGGGTACCCGGTGGTGCCCGGGTGCCCTTCTCCTCCCTTGTCCCCCGCCCCCCCCCCCCCCACCTCTCCTCATCCTCCCTTTCGTCCCCACTTGGCCCCTCTTCTCTTTCATAATATACTTGGAAGGGTACATGACTGTGCCCGGGGGCCCGGGGGGGGGCCATCAACCCCCCCCCACTCCCCCCACCCGTCCCCTTGTCCACCCCCCCCCCCCAACTCCCTCCCACAATAACCCCTCTGCCTATCCTCCCTCGCCCCCCCCCCCGTCTCATCTCCAATTAGCTCCTCTTCCTTATCATCATAATATATATCATTAGTGAGTAATGAAACTTCTTTATGAGTTTATGGAAATAATTTGATCTGGTGATGAAAAAGTCTTCGTGCATCTCTACCAATATTTCACACCTTCACATAATTTTGCTGCATGATATGTTCCCAAGATATGAGCTCATGCAGCAAAACATGTTCTAATCATTCGAGCTCTGCCGCTGACAATGTTAACAAGAGTTAAGGAAACGTATCTTGTAACGTCACGCCAAATAAAACTGTAAAAAATGAACTTTCGAGAGTTAATTTATCAACTGCCTTCTCAAGTGAAGAAAAATGTAAGGAAATTAGAAAATATTCGTGCTGAGTCATCGATCTCACTCTTTTCAGTCACATTAAATACTATAGGCCTTCAGGAGAGACTGCTACAATAAACACACACTTATATATATATATATATATATATATATATATATATATATATATATATATATATATATATATATATATATATATATATATATATATATATATATTTATATGCAGTTCAATGTATGATATACAGTTGCCTTGTATTTTGATTACAAGTTCATGCTAGTGTTGTCTTAATTTTTACTTTAGTCTACCGTGATTTGTCTCTTTTTTTTACTTATTTCAAGTGTTGGTGTTGTATATTGTTAGAGTTGTTTAGTTAAGACGTACAATATATTTTTGGTGTTTAGTTTTGTTTGGTATTTATATTTTGTATAAGGTTTTGGCGAGTATTTTATAATTGTTTGCTTTTTTACTTAAGTTTTATATACATTTTTTGTAAGTGTGTAGTCATTGTAATAAATGTTGTATTAGTGTTGATTACCCACATGTTAATCATGTTCTACTTCGGTTGATCACTTCACGTAAGTTTAACAGTGTAGTTTGTATTATTAGTTATTTTATTATCCATGTAACAGTTAATATGTTTTATTCGTTTAGATGACTTCAAGTGTTTTGTTGACCAAACCACACACTAGAAAGTGAAGGGACGACGACGTTTCGGTCCGTCCTGGACCATTCTTAATCAACTTGAGAATGGTCCAGGACGGACCGAAACGTCGTCGTCCCTTCACTTTCTAGTGTGTGGTCTGGTCAACATATTTCAGCCCCGTTATTGTGACTCCTCGTCTCCTTAAGCGTTTTGTTTTATAACTTGTGTCGTTTGATCTGTTTTCTTCTGATAGGTAATTTTGTTCAGTATGAGTTCTTTGTTTACTGCTTATTTTATTGTGACTTCTGTTTTTCTTTTACTTCTGATGATTATATATATATATATATATATATATATATATATATATATATATATATATATATATATATATATATATATATATATATTGAAGATGACCGAAAAGGTAAGATTAATATTTCTAACACTAATTTTCTCAATATGTCTTATATTTCTCTTCACTATCGAGGGTTCACTGAGTTCTTTGGGTCAACAGTCCCCAAGTGGGGATTTGAAGGCATAGACGATGTTGGTTTCCTTCAAGGCGTTCTGCTGTGTGTCTGGAAAGTTTTTCTTGAGTAGGTTGGACGTTTTATTGGTTTTATAGTATATTATTGACAATTTACTATAAAAACCAAAAAACGGCCAACCTACTCATGAAAAACTACTCTGGTGTCCCTGGGGTGGCGGGCCGGCACTAGGTGCTCCATTATGTTGTGGATTATTTCTTAGGAATCACTGAGTGCAAACGAGAGTGTCACGACTTGTAACTAAACAAAAGTATGTAAACTCTTAGCAGAACCAAAAGTAACAAGAGTCAGAACCAAAACAAAAGTATCAAGGCAAGTATCTAAAACCAAATCCGTTCACTTCTATGTAACTTTCCTTATGTTTCCTCATGACATTTATGTGTCTGGCTTGGGCTTCGGTGCATAGAATGTCAAAATGCTTTCGTGTGACGGTAACTGGAATGTTGACGGAGGCGCCGCGAGGCTGGCCACAGGCAGGGGCGTGTGTACAGCAGCGTCCATACACCGCCTCTCTCCAGTAAGCTGGCTAGCTAATAAGACGGATAGCATCGTTGTCGGTTATGTGTTCCCGGAAGAGAAACTATATCAGGATGGCTAATGGACGCGGCGTGTCGGCTTTGTAACCTCGGGTACAGCACCTTGTAACCTTGGGTACAGCACCTTGTAACCTTGGGTACAGCACCTTGTAACCTCGGGTACAGCACCTTGTAACCTTGGGTACAGCAGCTTGTAACCTTGGGTACAGCACCTTGTAACCTTAGGTACAGCACCTTGTAACCTCGGGTACAGCACCTTGTAACCTTGGGTACAGCAGCTTGTAACCTTGGGTACAGCACCTTGTAACCTTAGGTACAGCACCTTGTAACCTTGGGTACAGCAGCTTGTAACCTTGGGTACAGCACCTTGTAACCTTGGGTACAGCACCTTGTAACCTTGGGTACAGCACCTTGTAACCTTGGGTACAGCACCTTGTAACCTTGGGTACAGCACCTTGTAACCTTGGGTACAGCACCTTGTAACCTTGGGTACAGCACCTTGTAACCTTGGGTACAGCACCTTGTAACCTTGGGTACAGCACCTTGTAACCTCGGGTACAGCACCTTGTAACCTTG